AATTCATTTTCAAAGACGTTATAAGATCGTCTGGCGGTGCCATAGATTAAGTTACTGGTTTATGTCAATTTGTAGCTCGATTCCGGGACAATGTTCAATCAGAATCTTTTGGCCCATTTGTACAGTCTAAAGAAAGCGCTTGTGTAAGTATACTGTAAACATCCGAATCAAGAGTCTACGGCAGTCATAAACCAATCATTTTTAGTCTGAACACTGCTTATCTTTGCATGCAGAACTAAGATATTGTTACCGTTGTGAAATGTCCCATGATGTAAAATATATGGCCAGGTCAAATCTAGCATTACGTCGTGCTACCCTGCTTGCAAAGTCACTGGAATCTTTCAGTCGTATGATCATTTTGTGCACAAATATACAACTTCTTTCTCGGTGGGTCTGTGACTTTTTACTTTTCCCCGACCGGGCCCGTTTCGGTGAGTGTCCAAACTTTACTCCAGTTTTCTTGCGGAAACTTAACTTCGATGACTATGGAATAATCCAAGGCCTCTTATGTGTCTTTATGACATTAACACAATCCATAGACCATACAAAACACAGACGCGCCGCCTAGGGCAATTTTGCACCCTAAACAATGCAACTATCATCGGGAAGAGAGGGAGGTTTTTTTTCTATATTGTGTGCTTGGAACAGAGTAAAACAAAAGAAGCCATTTACATCCGGGCATTCAAGCCTTCTATACAGCCTTCCAGGTACCTCTGACCTGATATTGCATTCACGTGACTAAAACGTCACAGGTTCTGATCACAGGATCATTCTCTAGTTGCCGCTCTCCTAACCTGAACGAGTCGCAGTCCGAATGAACTGGCTAAATAACAACCGTGATCCAGTGTTCACTGTACTCGTGGTCAAGAAAAAAATCTCCGCCATAGTAAACTTATTACGACCAGTCGAAGATGAATTCCGACTGACGAACAGACTCGGTTAAAACTGCACCACGATACGATTGCATTTTTCATCGTCCACCGAATCTTGTAACAGGTATATTGAACAATCCACGGTCTCTGGAAATAGCTCCTTGTAAGCAAAGACCAGATCACAAGGCAGTCACATCAGGATGGTTCTCTATATAATCCATGGATATAACCGACCCCGGGTCGCCTTTCTTCTCATAGATAATAGGTGACGGCCACCGCCTCTTACACAGGTTCCGCGCGAAACACGCCAGCAGCAAGATGGAGGAGATGACTGCTGATGACGTCATCAACACGAACATGGCCAGGAACGTGTTCCCGAGCATGCCCAGTGGAGCAGGCATGGTTGCGGCTGCGCAGACAGGCGTTACAGACGAGCGAACTGCGGAGGAATAACAAAAACAGTAAGCGTGATGTCCACCCTTGATGGGCTTAGACCTGACAAAAATCACTTAATGGTACATGTATGGATAAGCCAATTAATATATTATTCATGTATGCAGTTAATTCAGTTGAAGCATCCGCAAATCGTTTTTAGTTATATGGCTACTTGCTCCTTTATATGTGCTACAGAGAAATCCTCCATAGGCTCCAAATGTACAGCCCGGCCCAATTCCATTTGAAAAAAATGGTGGGGCTACTAATAAGCACCTATGTCATTCAAGGACGTATATACCTTTTATAGGTTCTAGGCTAGCGAGGATAATAATAGGTCAATTCTATTTTTTTGCAATTGACAAATAGTTCTAATTTTAACGGAACGTCACTGCACAACATCAATTTCATATGAATGTACAGAATAGCGCAATGATGTATTTGCGCAGTCAATATTCACACGAAGAATAAAACCCCTCCCCACCCCCGCATTTCAATACAAAATACCATCAATACTCCCATATGTAGACGCCCTGGTCAATACGCTCCCGTCACAATCTATCATCTCAACATATAGACAACGCAAATATCGGCCTATAAACCAAATGTCATGATGATAGAAATCGCCTACATCTACATAACGTTACCCTACCTCAGCGTTGTTAAATCCAGCCGTCAGATGTGCGATGTTCGCGTTCGGAATTCCGTTATTCCAGACCTCTCTCCCTCCCTGTGTCCTCTGAGAGCAGGAAAACAACCTCCTCTCCTAAACCAGACACAGTTACGTCAGTCCGCAGGCTGTACCAGATCGATCATGTATACCCTGCCCGCCGCACGGAGGGACAAAGACCCGGGTTCACAGAATCCACCTGCCGGCCAGGCTGTGATTTTCCCTATACCACCATTAATTCCAGACACAGCGTCCTGTTCACGTTAGATATACGCCTTCTAATCCAGCGAGTTGACGAGTAAACAGAAAAATTCTAGCTGCGGTCAGACATCAGAGGAATTTTCCGCCGTCCCATATTCGCCGCAGTATATTCCACACGCCCGGTGACGCCACAGCGTTAGCCATACGGCTTAAAGCGATGCCTAGCCTGAACATTGACTTCCCAGCTAGTCGATCGATGGAAAGGTTTAATAGGGACCAGTCGGTAATAGCATGAATATGGGTCCCCAGAGCTGTGAATTGCATGTTAGGCCACACCGACTTAATTTTATGGATGACATCCTCTGAAGACCCCCAAACTAGTGCGTGCGGGCGAAAAAAAGAAAAATCCGGCCAAAAATAAAAATGCTACTAAACCACAGGAATACAAAGCTGGTATTGTGAATTTGGCGCATTACATAGCGACGTATACGACAGGCCGACACATACTGGATTTTTGCGGAATTTATGAATCGACATTGTACGTATGTACTGAGTTCTTGAGTCTTGGAGCTTCGGTAGCCTGGGTGCCGTCCACCAGAGTTATCACCACCATGGACTACCCAGGCTTGAGGCCAGTCCAGAGCCTCGGAAGACGTGATGTTTTTTTTTTTTTGAGATCGGGCGAAAATCAATGCGCGCGCGGATGTCATCCATAAAATTAAATCGGTGTGGCCTTAGAGGCCATAGACAGGAATGCCTAATGGCTTTTCCCGCGTCATGAATACATAATATGTACAGGACTTAAGGGGTGCTCATGTGTGACGTCATGAATATACAATATGCACAGGAATACGTTGCTCACTGGCCCATCGTATATTGAAACCAGAGCCAGCGAAGTATTTTATGAATGGCGTTCTCTGGGGTGCCCAAATCGTATGCAAGAGGACTGAAAGCTGTTCAGATCAATCTACAATGAACGTTAACATGTGTGCTAGATGTTCGAAAGTTTCCTGACAACTATGACTTTTTCCTCACATCATGTGAGCCTAGGTACAGTTGATAGTCTTTATACATACGTTCAATCAAAGGTACAACTTTGGGTGTTCTGTATAGTAGGCATCTATTTCAAAGGCGTCCGACACATCTACTACTAGTATATTTGAACATAAGGAACGCGTATATAAGGCGCTTCTCCCCAGGAACGAAACCTATTAGAAGTGGGATGGACGCGCCCCCAAAAAACAAACTTGACTCACCGCCAAATCACGACTTACAGACAAACATAAAACTCCCGACTTCCCCCACAGTTGATCATTCCCAGTAGGTGACTCACTGTTAGTGTATATGTACTATATAATCCTCGCAGTAAAGCAACACCGCTCAACGTCTTAACCACCGTGAACATTAAGAAGTGCAGAACGCGTTTCTACCGAACAGAAGTCACCAAATTTGCGGCTTGCGGTCTGCGAAAACTTGCAACGTAGTACAGGGAAAGTATGACGGTGTTAAAGTTTGGCGTTACAACCGCTGTTGTGTTGGTGGGATTTCTCGTCACAGGTTTGTGATGTTTTCTATTTCTGTTGCCTTTACGATGAAATTTTTATTTAATACATGTGAATTGCGAACAACGATTTAGAGTTGACAATGCGTCATCTATAAGGTCTCCATCTCAAAGAAGTAGTGTCCAGCCACATCAAGTTACAGAAGAGACAGTTATACTTGTAGACAAGTTGGGGGGCGAGGAAATACTAGGAAAAGTAGCGTACATATGTGTAGTAACTTTAAGTACTTAATTATGACACTAACTGCAGTTCTTCGGTTGTTTGTTGTAATGTACATGTTTTCTCGTGCGCTTGAGTGAGATTTTGTGGCGGATGTGGCAGATTTGCGTGTTGTTTTCTCTCTGTTCGGTGAAGCAATCCTCAGCGACTTGCATAACTCTGGTGACACGCAATCTGACCACGAGTCGGTCACAAGGCAAACAGTACGGACGAGTAGCTGTCAACAGATCCAGTTTGCACGCAATACAGGTCTTCCTCGGATGTAGCAACGGCGGTTCACGTCGACGCCTAGATATTATATAAACTGTTATTCAGCGTCAATCGTGTAGAATCCAAGTAGAAAGTAAAAACTTCTTGCAGTAGAAATATTCACCAAACGTTGTTGCTACACATTGTACCTGGAATATTAAGTTCAGCCCTATTAGCCCTGCAGAGCTAGAGGAGTAGGATGCGGACATATGAAAGAAAACTGCGCTGCCGAGTGAGACACGACCTTGGAATCCGGGTCAGGCTCCTTTAAGATCTTCTCGCCTTCGGTAAACAACATGTGCTCCTCCCGCCCACACACACTTTAATGTGACACACGCGTGTCCTCGCAGGATCTTCTACTTAAACGTACGCGTGGTTCAATGTTTTCCCTATGTCATTTATTCAATCTGGGTATGTTAGATCAAGGACGTTGGGTAGATATAAGGAGACCGAGGCCGGAAAGTTTTACAGCGTCCTTAACATAATGAACGAGCGCAAAGCAGTACAAAAACTGACCCAAACTATACATATTCACTAAAAGAGAAATAAAGAAGTAATGAAGCACTTTTAACACGTGACCCAACGGGCGCGTTACTTTGGCAGAGGATCAATGATACATGGAAGTCTGTATCATCCCCCGTCCCGGACATTCGGTAAAGTTGTGCCGCGTATGTTAAGGAAAAAAAGTAGAAAAAAAAAACAAACAATATTTTACTTGTCCATAGTTATCTACCAGCAATAGTTATCTACCAGCACAGACTTTATTTTCTATAATTTTGTCCCCGTGTAGTGTCCATGCCCCAGCCCATGTCCCAGCCCGTAGACCAACTGGCGGACGCGGACCAGCCCAAGTCCCGCGCCAAGCGCGACCTGTTCTCCCTGTCCGGAGTGATCCGCTGTGTGACTGGGAACAGCGCCCTACTCATGTACAACAACTACGGTTGCTTCTGCGGGCGGGGCGGTGGCAGGGGACGCCCTGTGGACGATATCGACAGGTGAGTACAGTTTATCTACGGCCAATTCCAAAAGTCTATTAACTTAGGGGTGCTTCTGAATGATATACTAGTATTACATTAACCACAAAATCAGCTACGGTAAAAAAATAAATTACAGGCATCATCACAGGAATGCCTGCAGAGGACGTATCAAATCACATGCCAATAAAAGAAAGGCAACCGTGAGTTTTACCTGCGAACGCGTAAAACCAACTGGCCACAATACGAGGGAAACCTCCTTCGCGAAGTAACAAGTGACTTCTGTTTTCATCATGTATAATTTGGCTGCGGTGACCCACCTTCCTGTGTAACATCCTTTTCCTGAGGAAATTAAACGTACAAACTACTGAGCCCACGGGTCTAGACTAACCATCTGCCAGACAAAGAGCACTTGTATCAAGGCGTGTAACTGTTTCTCTGTGATGACCCCAAGTCTACAACATTCGCCCTAATCAAACATCGCATGCAGGTTCGACATCCTGTATTAGGAGGCTCTGGGTCAGCCGTAGCCTCTACCAGGCTTCGGGAGGCGGTTGGGAAGAGTAGACATTGGTCAAATAGAGAGTAGCATACCAGGGAAGTAGGTCCATTAGAAAGTACAGTTTGACGAACCTGAAAATTGTACTTTTCAGAGGACCAACTCCCTCGGCGTGTTATCTCTTTATTTTACCAATTTCTGCTCTTTCTAGCTGCCTCCCGAAGCCTGGTAGAGGCTAGGTCAGCAGCTTTATCCATACTTGGTGCAAATAGACGCTATGAGTTGCATTTTTCGTCCCTCCCGCTAGGTGCTGCGTGGCGCACGACAGGTGTTACGCCCTGCCCACCTGGTTCAACGCGCTGTTCGTCATCTACCCGTACAGGTGCATCGGCAACTCCGTCGTGTGCAGTAAGTGTGTGGCATTTATATTGTTGTTCCAGTGACGTCAGAGATGGGTCACACTGTGTCAGGAAGTTTGTATCGTCCGCCGGCCCGTTTGATGACGGACGTGGCGTTTTATACCGAAAGTCATTCGTCCTATGTGAAGAAAGTGTCCGACATCAAGAAAGTCTAATTGCTTTACGTTATGTTCTATATCTCTTTCTAATCTCCAAGCAGATCCTAGGGTAGCAAAAAGACAGTATCAAATTCGCCTGGCAATATACATTGGCCAGAGAGGGTCCAATACTGTCTTTTTCAGGCCTGGTCTTTTGGTCACCCTAGGATCTGCTTGGAGATTGATCTCTTTCTATTTCACAGCCTTTGCGTAATGTTCTATCTCTTTCCATTTTCCAGCTAGCCGCAACTGGCTGAGGCGCAGCGTGTGTGAGTGTGACAAGGCGCTGGCCGAGTGTTTCGCCCGCTCGGTGTACAACAGACGCTTCAAGAACTACCCGTACTGCGGAGTCTTGCAACCAGAGGACCCCGCGGTGGACACTGGGAAGCACCCCGCAGTGGACGCCGGGAAGCACCCCGCAGTGGACGCTGGGAAGAAGCCCACTGTGAAACCTGGGAAGGATGAGAAGCCTTGGGTCGGGTCGGGAGATGGCTATGACAGGTTCATAAATTAAACTGGGAAAAGTTTGGAAGAGAAGAAGTTAGATAAAGATACCGGGCGCTGTATGCACCAGAAAAATTCTGAAAAGGTTATAAGACGAAACGTTCTAAGATTGGTTTTCGACAGGATTACACTTGCAAGTCTTCGGGAATGAGTAATTCATGAGAACAGGTAACGTTAAAGTCTATGTTGCAGTTATAATATTTGCCGCACGATAGCGCTCTTAAACGCGTTGAAAATCATAAGCAGTAGCGTATAGCACTCAGTAGCAGTGTCAGTACCGTTATTCTTCCATCGATGTCATGTTTACCTCTTGATATATATCTTTGTGCCCTTGCAAAATTTTGCCATGAAGTTAAGTACTTTGTTACGTTATGCTGAAGTACTTTGTGTCAGTGCCAAATATAGATATCAGCGCTGCACGGAAATACATGTACCTTTAGGTGCAGCAAAATAAATGTTCTGACAAAAAGATGATGTAAAAGAATGTGTCACATATCATTTGTTCCTTGTGACTTTTTAATCGTAAACTTGCGTGCGATGTTGGACATGATTCATCGACCACAACAATACACAGGACACATGAATTACTCCAATCAATATGTTATACCGTTCAAGGATGCACACAAATAATGGTTCACCGGAAATTATCATTAATATTTATCAGTGTTGATAGTAACATTAATATTGACAATAAACAACTGAATGGAAAAAAATTAAATCGATAGTTTGCTTATTTGTCTTTATCATCGTTACCACGTTATCAGCTATGAAGAATGATTCTGGGATATGAAAAAAAATATGAAAGAATGCATGGAAAAGAAGATAGGAATACAATGGCAAAAGTACGAAAATATTCGTAAGGTTATCTGTAATTTTACGATGATGAAGCTTGATTTCACTAATGTAGCGTTGAATACGAAGTCTGCCTATGTAAGATCGCATCTGATCGAACTACATTGTACAATGGAAACGCTACGTCACCTTATCAATATCGATTGGTATTGGTAGAAACGTTTACGCAGTAATTGATCGATTATTGCTACACACGTTGGTAAATTTTAAGTACACGCCTAAAGTCCCTCAACAACCTTGTTCAAAGTTGATTTGGAAACAGGAAGCATTGAGTATTGTGACTCATGTCTGTTCACTTCGCATTGAAAAGGTTATCGGTTGTGTATTACCGCTTTTCTTGTGGGTAAAAGGGAAAATTTCTAATTTTTCTGGGACAGAAAGACAAGACGATCGTTGCGGACAAGTGCAAGGTGCGTCCCGGCCCCTCTATCTCACCTGCGTGGCGCCTTAAACACCTGTCCGCACGGCACACACCTTACCTTCCTGACAACCACGTAAATAAACGTCACCATAACAAACGTCGTCATGGGACCAAACACGCGAGGCATGCCGGGATACATGCCAGCCTGCCATCTTGGAGGTTTTTGTTTCTTCGCGATCGTCTTGCGGGTTTCACGTCGCGAAATTCTATCCTCTTGGGGACCATTCCTCTAGTCTTGTCCCCTCAATACCTCGCAAGACGTCTTGTGAACGTGTGCGCCGTTCCCAGAAGGAGTTGGTAAGTGTCTGAGGCTCTTGTGTATTTTATTTTTCGTTGTTGTTTTTTGGACGGAACCAGGACGTTTGCGTTACCAACGCACGTTCCCTCCTCATGATATTCCAGAACACGATTTTTCACTGTTTCACGTTTGTGGATTGTACTTACGCTTGTTACGTTATTGTTTAACACAAACACTTATTTACTGCAACGTATCGTTGTTTGGTTTAGGGGAAGAGGAGTTTAAATTTTTACAGAGGCAGCCCGTCCCCATCTACCGCGGTCCTTCGGTCCTCCACTACCGAGGAGGTTGGAGAAAGACTCCTTGGTGAAACGGAGGTTGTGAGGAGGACCTTCCTAACGTCTGCAGTGTGCAATGACAGCCGTCCTGCCGCCCCAGCAACCCAGCTATGGCACAGACACTGGGATAGGGTCGGGGGACTCCTTCTTCGACGACACGCCGACCAGCCGTACCCGCTCTCCGCCCTCCCCCGCCGGTCGCCCTCCCCGCCCCGGCGTAAGGCTACCATGTCCGGCGGGAAGACCCGCTCCCGATCCCGGTCGGACTCCTACACGGACGCCTCCTACTCAGACTCGTTCGACTCCGAGTCCGAGACGCGAACCCCGACTCCCACAAGGGCCGGCAAGAAGAAGGGGAAACGGGCGTCCAGCGAAACTTCTCCGAGAAAAGGTGGGTATACGGTAACAAAAATATTCATCATGTAGCAAATGTTGCAATATTGCCACAAAATTATTTAGCACAATGATATAATTTGTGCTAACAATTTATGTTGGCATCTGACACACCTACCTATATGATTTTCATCAGGTTATGAAATTCATATTTCCAATATATATGTAGGTACAATGCTAGAAAAGTGAGAACTACTAAAATGGCCTTGCTGCGACAGGAATAACGTAACAAACAAACGTTTCAAAATGAGTAGTGCAAAATGAGGAAATATTGCCAAAAAAATATTATGTAGCATTTGTATCAAAATGTACAATATGTACCAACATACCTTAGGATACTACACACCTTCTTTGAACATTTTTATATCAGGTGATAATGTGTTTGTTTGTTTATGGTGAGAAAGGTGATAAACAATACTAAGTAAACACATGGAACCAAGGGGTGGTTTAAAAGCTTTTATGTTGAAAAGGTTTAAGGCCTCTGTCTCTGTGGGGGTATCTTATATTGTGTTTAAGGCATTGTCCCGGTATTTACAGGTGTAAAGAACATAGAAACAACCACCTTACAATGTCTTCGTAAGACTTTTACAAGGAACTGGGCTTAACAAACACACGGTTTTGCATCTTGAGTTCATTTCGTCTGTGTTTGAAACACTTAGCACAAAACCATGGAATTTACTTGTTATTTTAACCTCCCCTCTCAAAGGGACGCTGCCCTTTTTTTCGTTCTTTATAAGGAGATGGAAACCAAAGTTGCTACACTAAAGTAACCACATTGTCCAACTCATTTCAGTACCCTATGAAGTGCTTGCAACTGCACTCACCAATACTGAAGTTTAACAGAAATTTTCAAATCAAAAGTCTTTAAATTCTGAAGCCAAGTCATCCAAGTTAGAATCACAACTTAATGGGGATGTCATAACCTAATTTCTTTGTCCCATAGCTGGGACAAGTAATTCTGATAGCAGCTTATTTGTGATATATTAAAATTGTTATATTTTCATATCAAACACTCATTCCTGTGAAGCTAGAAACAGAAGATTTTTGCCCCCAGAGGGGCACTCAGAATGTCATCAAGTTCAATCTATTTTTCATTATCAGCATGAAGCAAACATTGAAAGTGTTGACATATGGAACTGATATGATCGGTGTCTTTAAAAAACAGGTATTTAGTTATAGAGGAGACAAACATGTATGTCTATGATAAACGCAACGACAAATTCAGAATTTTGCAAGTGATTTCTGTCAGAAGTGCAGAAAAACTGTCACACCACAAATATTCTCTTGAAAAAGATATCACTTGTTGAAAACTATATAGGAGCAACTTTTTGTACAATCCTAAGGTTTGTCCTCATCGGTTAGGTCATATGTAACACCTGGTTTGTAAATGAACCGATGAAGTGTTGTTGTTAGGACAGAAGTATTTGAAGTAACTCCTGAAAATCGCCACAAGCCTATTGTAATGCTGTAGTGACTGTATTCAACTCGAAATGACAAAAAAAATGTAGCGTATTCAACTCAAAATTCCAACCTGTGTAGGGTTCACCTCATTAATCTGTTGTTCAATACATTGGGAGGCAAAAGTGTTCGCTAACCGCAGCCCGTTTACTGTAATTACGTATTGTGTGGTCTAACCCTGTTATGTTTCACCATGACTATCCCATGCATGGTTGAGTGCATTATTTGGCAGCTCCCCCAGTCAATGGTAGTGCGTAGCAGGGCTGTAGAGTGTGTAGTGCTGTTCCAGTGGCCAGGAAGTCATACTGAAGTGGTATAGAACATCCCGGTGTGGCCTTGTACAAACAGGACATGCAACAAATGGATGGGAAACTGTTAAACAATTACAGTCAAAACTGCGCAAAATGACTCTATGTGGACAGGTGGTCACTGTTTAATTTGCTTGTGTCGATGGGAAAAATAATTATGTAACCATCAACCAGTGGTCACATTGGTGGTCCTTAGGTAGAGGTAGTTACTTGTACAGGTTGATTTTCGATATGACATGATTTAGTAAAAATGATATATAGGGATTTTTTCTTGATCTATCATCATCGTGATTTTTGTTCTCTGCTTTTGCTGTCTTGACATTGACTTTGAGCATTTCAGAGACTTTCCAAATGTGGGTATGAAGTATCCTCTAGAATTTAATCAGCAAAGACAGTAATACGTGCCCCCTCCCCCACCAAGCTATTCTGCCATGCCTGAAGGAAGCAGCACAGATCAGATGTCAGTTTGGTTTACAGTACAACAAAGTCAGATGCTGGCCAAGGTCACCCGGGTGTCTCTGTCCGTATACTGTGTATTGTATAACAGGTTAACTGTTTCATAGCAAAACATAGGCCTTATACCTGTATTGTAGTTGCTGTTACAATATACAGAATGTGTAACACATGATAGGTTTGAAACTTTGAGCTATTGGCACCCTTGCTCTTCTCAAATTGTGAGGTAGATACATGTAGATATGAAGTTGTTATTGGTTGGGTGTTAATTTCGTTAATTTCCATATAGCTACGTCTTTTTTTCTTTTTCATCCGGGTGGTCTTTCCTTTTCGGATTTCCTCCAAAAGACTTGAGACCCAACTTTAATTGGTGTGAGTCCCTCTTTAATAGAGCTCATAGCTTACAGAGCTGGTGAGATCCTAGCTACAGTGTTCATGTAACCATACCCTGCCATGCGTTGTCATATCACTCATCTGTTATGGCCGTTACTGTTTGGAGTAACTGTTTAACTTGCCTCTGCCTGGGACAGGAAGCATTGTTGCTGGTTAATCCGTGTTTAATCGATAACTCACCTGGCATTTGTTAGATTGTTTGTGCAGGTTATTTGCTCCAACTCTAGTGGAGTTATGATCAACTGTTCCTCAGGGAACCAAACAAATGGTGAGGTCTTTGAACATTTATGGGCAGGCTTAGAGGTACACGAACCTGATAAAAACATGCTAGAACAGTGCGAATTCCATTCTGTATCTCTATCATATCAGTTGACAACTTGACATAGGTGCCCTTTAGCATATCACGACACCTTTACAAGCAGCACAGTTATAGAAGATATAGATCTGCTCTGAAGAATTCAGGAATAATACTCCCAAGGGAAGTGCTTGTCATGGCAGAAATAAGTTACATTTTCGTTTGTGGAAAGCATATCTGAATGGCAGATCCACATTTCTCTTTGTCATGTTACCGGTATAATTACTACGGGCTATTCAGATAGTGAACACTGGCAGTTTGGTAACTTTGAATAAACAACCCAAATATCTCCTATAAATATGTTCATCATAAAGGAACTAAAAATACCATAAGGAAGCTTGTTTTTCAAAATACAAGGTTCAATCTTATGTTTAGGATAGTAACATGTTGAAATATGGTGGTTGAAAATTTAGAATATTGCTTTCTAAATTCAACAAGACCAGTGTTATATAAGGTGTATATCCCCACCTGACCCACCAAACTGTAATAAAGAATGATTTATTAATGGTATAAGTGTTAGAACGGCAACACACCGTGTACTTATGTACCAAGTCACGCTAGCGGAGACATGAAACACACGTAAGTGGCCAGGACAACGTTTGTGTTCTGAAGGTTGAAGGATTGTGTTGAATTATTGATGAGGCAGTGAAATAATTATCCTGGCAACCTTGTGCTCCTGTGGTTGATCTTGCGAGATCTACACATTAAAATGATATCAATTATTCAATAACCAACGTAGGTGTATCCAACATGATCTTCAAGGAAATGACATTCTTCATCAATTTGTAATCATACAAGGATTACTTCAATGACTTGTATGGAATGAAATATTTGAGGAAATTCAAACATTGAAAACAGAGAACTGTAACAAGACAAAAATTAGATTTTGTTCTCTCTCTATAACCACAAAATATGTACAGTAGTCACTTAATTATAACCTTTATGACAGAAATTAACCTTCTTGCTGCCATTAACAGCTTAGTGACCTTAGCCATGATGTATAGGGTTTGTATTATATCCTCAGGACCTTAAATTACAAATTGTGAAACTTAACATATTAGTATCCACTCAAAATGTAGGGATTCTGTCCAACAAGGTGTCTTCAAAATTTAGAACAGTATTGAAATTTTTTGCTCTTAAGCAGGTGTTCTTACCTTTTACGTGTATATTCATAAAAACATTCTCCACTATAATAGATAATAACCCTCTCCAGTCAGACCTCAGGAGCCCAATTGAGAAGTAAGGTCACTGACAGGGTAATGACAGGTTAGGAGATGGTTTATGTGCCAATCCACATTCCTGACTCCTAGAGTCCATCTGGACTCACTGATCATGAGGGGATTTAAATTTTGGATTCTGCAGGCCTTTTCTTGTGTGACTGGAGGTGAAAGTACCCTGCAATATTAGGGCCAACTGTGCTTAGCGTTGGTTAAGGTTATATTAGGCAGTGTTTCTGTTAGTTTTGTAGAGTTCAGGTCTGCTGTACTGTTGTGTAGTGATCATGGCACCGTCACTTGTGCGGAGGAGCCTGGGTGTACCATGGGAAGGGAAACTGTGTGTCATCACAGACCCTACCTGCTGTGAGAGGGGACCTGCAGATGTGGAGAAGTCACAGTTGGTGGCAGGTAGTTTTTGTGTTGCTCTTATAGGTTACGTTACCAGTATACTCTATATATTCGCACAAGAGAGCAAGCAATTGCTGAGTTGCTAAACTGTAAATGATGTGATACCAGACTGAGGGAGAGAGACTACTAGTAATAATCTAAAATCTAACCAAGAAGACCACTTAAGGGACCAAGAAAGTCTGGTCCATGTGGACAAGGGGTCACTATATATAGCTTGTGTCTGTGGGAAAAATTATCTAAGGATGTAACCAAAAAGTGGCCACAGTGGCAAGTCACAATGTGGAAAGGTGGTACCGGTGGTAGTAGTACATCCATAAGTTCAAACAAACTTATAACAATCCTGCACACAACGGGTTGGTAACAAATACTAGTAGATAATCCGAATATGCATTGTACAAGAACAATATACGTATTGGCCTGCATTTTAGTCCATAGTTCTGTATAAGCTATCAAGGTGAACGGAAGGTAAAACTGCTAGGATGTTAAGCCTTCGTAAGCCACATGTTTGGGTGTTGCCATTAGCATTTAATACTGTGTACTGTAGGGGGGAAATCTGTTCTATAAAGCAATCAATCTATGGACCAATCAATCAACTTATCAACCTTTATTAATTCTATCCAGATGGACCTCTTGGCCTTTACTGCACACTGTGCTGTTATAGTGGGAGGTCAATGTCAACAGTAAAACACACTTAAACTCACACGTAGAGTACATACAACGGTAATTATTGCACTCTATTGCGGTAGTCTGTGTCTGTGTAGAGTCTATAGCTGGATTAATCTATTGGAGATTCCATCAATGATTAGCTTGTAATTGCTAGGCTTTGTGTTGTTAAGATGGTATGTGCATGGAAGCATTTATTTGCGTGATGCATGCACCATGGCATTTTAACAATGCATTCAATTTGTTATTAACTGCACAGTAACTACTGTAGACGGTGAGGTTACGCTAGATGATTTAATTCAGCAGTGGCATTGGCAGTTTTATTGACCAAGTTTGAAATTTGTTGGATTCATGCCTGCTTTTCAATGTACAAATGAAATTAATCCTTTTCACCCCTTTCTTGTTATGTTGACATTTTGACCAATAAGAACCCTGGCATCTGCCAGGACTTATTGATGGCATATTGATTCCTTACATACTGTAGCAAGTGTCGCAGATAATGTGGTAATGATATACATGTATATATTGGTGGCAGAAGCATAATAATTGTTATAAGATTGTAGTACACCAAACAGTGCAATGATATATTCCATGTATCCAGATGTTTCTTGCTGTAAGTGGAGACCTTTTTGTTTTCTCATTCTGATATTTTCCCCCACAAGTTGAGACCGCTCAAGGCTATGTATATAACAGGCCTTTTGGTGTAATACAAGTTAGCTTCACATCCACATTACGGTGGCTTGTGATAACAATTTGTCACATAGGCCTTGTTAAAAACTTAATACACTGTACATCCACACACTTTGTTCACATGCATAAGTCAGAATTATGTTACAGCATTATGGTATTACTGATACTTATTTCAGGTGTTTAAAAAAAAACCCTCCTTTTGTTTTCTTCCAGACAAAGTTGGCTCCTCAAACAGCAGCATTTTCATAACCAGAACGCGAAGATGGCCGTCGACTTCTTCTCTAACTAGTGGTAACTTTGCTGAACAATTTGTCATTTTTCACAGGGCAAAACGCATGCTGAAATATGCATCCTCACCTAACCCCTATCCTCCTGTACTTTGTAACATGCCCTGCATGGTACTTTATCCCTATCTCTAATGGAATGCTACATACATGTACTAATATCCTTCTATAATTTCCACATGTCTGTCAAGGTTGTACAAGGATAATTTTATGGATGACAACTTCAGAATGGAAATTTTTATGAAAAGTACAAATAATGAAAACTCACGTTGAGTTGAACTGTTTTTAAACGGTGTTACTATGAAGGATAACAAAACAAATTTTTCAGAATGTAAAATGATACTCATGATGTCAATTTGTTACCATATGACAGAATTATTATGTACGTTAGAATTATTATGTACGTTAATGTCATCCATAAGACCCTTGTGAGGCCTAGCTATAATATCCCTCCACCTCTGCACAAGCACTAACCATAATCCACCCAAACCCTTCGTTGTCCCTAGTACAGAAGACAGCACTTAACCTCACTCTTGGTGGTAAAACATCTTGGTGGTGAATCTTCGGTGAACACCTGCATGGTCCCAAGCACAAAGTGTTATAAATAATCTTGATGTCTTATAATTGACTGAATCTTTGTATGTTTTGTCCTTTGTAGCAAAAACTACTGTCACAAAGCACCATTCAGGGTCCCGTGGGCCCCGCTACCGTCCGCAGAGTCTACAAAACACACCACGGCCACATGGACAGGGTGATATCGTCACGCGACGCATGCTGTCAGCACGGCGCGTCAAAATCAAGGACCTCACCAGCCAGATCTTTGAGCTGCAGCGGGAACTAGACGACTTAAAACGGGAGAACAAACTCCTGAAGACGCTACAGCACAAGCAGGAGAAGGCACTGACAAGATTCGAGGACCAGGAGAGCGACCTGCCCCAGCTTCTCGCGCGGCACAGCGCCGAGGTTCGGAACTTGAAGGAGCGGTTACGACACAAACAGGACAGTAACCACCGCTCGGAGCAGAAGATTAAGGACTTGCGGGACGACCTGGAGAAGAAGGAACACCAGGTCACCAAGCTGCAGAAAATCGTCAGGGACAAAAATCTTGCCGAGAGAGATGAACTGAACAGGAAGCTGATGAGGACGGAACAGATGCTGCTGGACAAGGAGAAAAAAGTCGCTGTGAGTCGCTTGTTGTTGTTTATTGCATTTTATTTTTAAAGGAGGGTAGACGTTCTTGCACTCTGATGCTGGGGCTTGATGGTAGCTTGCCATTTGCCTCTGTCCTGTGGTTCTTGGGCATCAATAATAGCAAGTTTTGGTGCAACGATTAATTTATTATGGTATCACTTTCTACATGTTTTGGTACTAACATTTTAGTATTTCTACAATAAAGATGAGAACTCTGCTATAGCTCAGTATGACATTCAGCTCATCTAATAACATATGTTTCTTCTGGAAAATTACTGCACAACTTGCCCCAACTTGCTCTACCAGAAAATCTTACCTCATTGTTTCCATACTGTATTGTAATAATATTGTCAATGGTTGGGTTCTTCCATGATAGTAGTTCAAAAGTCCTGGCATCCTGCAATGTGCAAAGAAAACTTGTTTCACAGCCAATACCACAACACAAGTATCAGTTCCGACCCACTGACCGAGTAACTAGACCATATCCCTCCCCACAGTTCTGTATTACAGGCTCCATTTAACCTGGAAAGCTGTTGTTATTGTCAGCCTAATGCTCAGGGATCAGTTAGTGTAGCTTGTGGGAGCTGAACAATGACAAAAAGACCATTGAGAATAGGTTCAGGGGGAGGGTGGGAAAATGTCTATTGTTTAGTACATTTTTAATCTGCATGGACTAACCATGTGAGAATTTTTTATCGAATACCAAACTGAATTTGCTTTTGTTTACAACCTCTGTTATTGCTGTTTTGTTATCTATTTGCTCATAAAAAACAAAGAAATCATGTAGTAATATCAATTAAAAAAGAACAGGAGGCCAGAAACCTAGTGGTTTTTCATGGGCGTCCCCCCAAAATCTTAAGAGTAGAAGTCTATTGCCATGTATATTTGTCAGTTTTCTTTTTCTGTTTTACTTTAGATAAAAGATGTTATCCTGTACTATCATGAAAGTTCATGAAAGTGTTGGTAGTTACACGTTTAAAGTTAAAACTTTTGATCCAATAGTGACAATAAAGTTCTATCACCTAGAGCTTTTAACCAGTCACTCTGGTCTTCTCATCCTTTATTGTGTTGGATCAAACGTTTTTACTTTAAATATGTTTTCTTGTATTGACTTCCCTGTCTGTGTTGTTTAGGAGTTGAATAAGCACCTGGAGCTTGTACAGGGCAGCTCTACCCGGCAGCTGAACGCGGAGCGAACACGGCACAAGGAGACTCAGGACAAGCTGTCTGCACTGCAGGAGGAGTATGATCGTCTGCAAAACAAACTCAAGGTGGGTACAGGTGTCTTTAAGAAGGGTCTTGGACTTTCCATCAGCCCAGATTCATCATCAGATTTGCTCGCTATCTAGGGAGGTCTGGTATCTATGCTTCCCCGGGAAAGTTTGGATTTTCACGCCTTCAAAAATGCAATTTCCCACATTTTGAGGGGCAAATCATGGTGTTGAGAATGGTTGTCGGTGGTCCCTAAGATGTTTTCATATTTTTACCCAAGATTTTTGTTAATTTTGTCTGTCAAGGTTGATGGATTATTTCTTTTTAAAATTCAGTCACATGTCGCAAAGTTCTGGTAATTGACGGAAAAACTGGTGCTGGCTAGAGCCCTGTCCTAGACCTGTGTCAAGATGCCATCAGTCTGTCAGCCAGACCATCAAGACGTAGGTGCAGGTGAAATAACGGTTTCATGCCCCATCACACATCAGTGTCACTGTGGCAAACACCTTGTTTCTGTGCTGAAAACAGCCCCGTTGCACAAGTAGCTTGTTGTACCACAGTTCTCCCACCGATTGTCCCTCAAACACTTCCAGGTGTAACCTGAGATGTGTAAGGGCACTTCAGGTGTGCATTCAGGACACTTAAGAGGCGTGTTTGCTCAAAATGTGGTCCTTAAGGCAGGGACAAATTTTGGCTTGGTTCACATAGATGGAAATATTATTACATGTATTTGTAAATATTTTGTCAGCATACATTGATTTGCCTAACATACTAGAGTAGTAAAATTGAATGAAGTGTTTTAGGCAAGAACAAAGAAACTGGCTTGAAGCCAAAGGTAATTTTGGAACATAGAGTTTGTCTTAAATGCTGTTTCATCATTTGGTGATTTTTCCATTATTTTTTTTTTGTGTGAAAAGGAGTTAGAAAAAGTAGTCATTAATATCAGAAAAATGCAGTTTGAAAAAATAAAAAGTTTGATGCTTATGTCAAATCTGCAGGTCCGTGTAGTTTGTTCCTAGTTTTGTTGGTTATGTTGACAGCAGTTGTAGCCTTGCCTACCTGACTGGAATAACACAGCTCTATTGGGGGGCAGCGGACAATGCTTCGTTACTGGGGCAACCACACAAACAAGGGAAACAACAGTTGGTAGCGTCTGTTACCATGGCAACTGTTATGATAACCCTGACCCTTGAAATGTGGTCGCCCTATGAAGGTGCAGTGTGCCTTTCCTTCTCCCAGTTTCCTCAAGTCAGGATGTCTTTAAAAAATGAACAATTTATTGAGTACCTTAAAGAAGAGAAGCTAACTTGAAAGACAGGGCTGCTGAGCATAAGAAAGCTTCTTGATGGATTGTCCAAGGCTAAAGAAGAAACCTTCCCTCTGTCTGCAGCACACAACCTCAGTACATCAGGCTTTAGTCAACAAAGGTCACATTTTCTATGCAGTGTTTCAGACAGACAGTCTACAGAATACTAATGGACACATTGGCATTCTGGGTACAGGGTAGAATGAGGTCAAGGGCAGAGTTTCACACAGCTGTGGAGGAAGCTCTTGTGTTCTGTGTGCCAGAAGGGTCAAGGTCAGAGAATCTGACATTGAATCATCCCTACACAGTTTGTGTTTGAAGGTCATGACTTTGATGTGGCACTTCTAAATATAGAATATCAAGCATGATATTCGTAGGGTTAAATCTTTTCTCCTTTAAAGCATTGGTTGGACAAAGAAATTGAAAATTTTGCATATCAAATAAACTGTGTTATTTCCATTCTTCAGGAAAAGGAGAAGGAACTAGACATCAGGAACATCTACTCCAACAGGTTAAAGGTCGGAGGGTCCAAGGCACCCAGTGTGGAGACCAGCCCAAGGAGACCAAAGGTACAATAACTGAAATTAACTCTTTTCATTTTCATCATTCATTCAACCAGCCTGCTATCCATCGCCAGCTATTTTTGCTCTAGTGTGATTGGGATTGTTCTCAGGCAACCTTCGTATCCCTCCTATTGAATCAGTTGGTCCTCACTCTGGGGAGTCAAGCTTGTCTCCAGCAGTGACGCTTCTAACTTAAGGAGAGATGCCAAACTTAGTTTAGTGCCTAAAAGTAGTCTCTTGGACTTGCACTCCCCTTGAATCCCCTGCTATCATCTTAATAATGTAGAACTTGTTGCCATCAAGCACAGTTGGGGCATCAACAACTCCTGCAATGAAATGTGCAAAGATTGAGTGTAACAGGTTGTTCGGTGTGGTATAGCTAGCTGCCGCCGCGCCGCGTGCCTGTGAAACTGGTGCGTTGGGCAGAAGGTCGGTTTATACCAGCTATGCCAATACAGAACTTTCCCCTCATATTTGCCTTTTGATTGACGATGATGTTGTTGTTCCCAAAGGCCCAGCATAAGAACACTGCGACAGACGAGTCTAAGGATGACTCCTTCTTCCTGACAGCTCAGCTGCACGACTCGCTGGAGGAGGAGAGGAGGAGACGGGAGGACGAGGAGCGCAAGGTCAGGAGATGTCTCTGTTTGTTTCACTGCTGATCATCATCATCATCCACTGTACATGTATTCTGCATGTAGTGGTGTGAAAATGTTCTGCAGTTGTGTTCAGTCTTTCTTCATCTCCTTCCACTGTGGCTTCTGTCTCTTGGACTCCCTTAGCTCTTGGAGTTTCTTTTCTGTTGTGAAAGAGTGGGAGTGCCTATCCCCTCTGTGCTTCATGTCTCCCTTCAGCATGCTGAGCAGATTGATGCAGTGTCTTCCTTTTCGAGCCTTGTATCTGTTTGATTGATCTGCTGATTGATGCATTGAACAACATACCAAATATGTTGTTTTAGTTGAAGAAAACAAAGTAATGTGAGAATGAATGTCATGCATTGAGTGAAGTTTGTACGGCCCTGTAAGCACATGGTTATTTGAGAGGGTGATGTTTTATTGTTACAAAACTAAAGACAAAGTTATATTGGTCTTACAGGAGAGGGAGCGGCAGGAACAGGAGCGTGAGGACAGGGAGCGGAGACAACGCGAGGAGAGAGAACGTGCAGAACGAGAGAGAGAAAGGCTGGAGAGGGAGACACGAGAACGGGAGCTCCAGTTCCGTCAGGACAGGGACAGACGGGATCGCGAGGTGGAGGAACGGGAACGGATGGCACGACTCATGAAGGAGAGGCTGAGCCAAAGTGATGAGAGCCAACTAGCAAAAGGTAACGGAACTTTTTCAGATATTGAAAAGTAGCATCCTTCTTACTTTAGTTATGATATGTTGTGGATGGAAGTTGTTTGAAGTAGCCACCTAAATCTGTTGCTACGTTTTCAGGATAATATTTGTTTGAAATGTTTAAAAATTATCACTATACGCAGTGAAGAATGATTGCATTGGTCCTGAAAGATCAGATGTAGTCTTGGCCTTTCATAAACCTAACTTGTCACATATTTTGCCTCCCCAGACCTACAAAGAGCAGAAGAGAATAGAAGACTGGAAGAGCAACGTGAGAAAGAAAGGAAGGAAAGAGAAGAACGAGAGAGACAGAGACTGGAACAGGAAAGGCGGGCAAAGGAGGAGAAGCAGCGTCGGGAACGGGAAGAGCAGGAACAGCGCGAACGAGAGGTGGCCGAACGTCGAGCAAGGGAGGAGGCAAGTCGTCTTGAGAAGGACATCGCAGCTAAGGAGGAGCAGACGAAGAAGGCACTGCTACTGGCACGGCTGAAGGCCATCGACCAGGGGGAGAACCCTGACGAGGTGGTTGTACAGAACGGTCCTGGTCCTGTTAGAGAGCTGAAACGACAGAGCAGCATTGGCAGTCGCTCCAACTCGGGGAAGTCACAGAAGGAATGGAACTTCAGGAAGCCTGACGAGAACTTGCACAACGGTCTGCCATCCCACAACGGCAAGGAGGAGGAGGATGATCTGACGTTCGGCGGGTACGCTCCAACGTTCGGAACCCGCAAGACCAAGGAACCCGCGAAAAAGAATGTCTCCACGATACAGTTCAACGATGAGTTTGCCCCAAAGAAGCGGGACGCTGGGAAGAACAAGTCCAATCTCATGGAGTCTCTGTTTGGGGAAACGGAGCGAAAGATGGACAAAAAACAAAGCTCTTTTGGGGAAGATGACATTTTCTCATCGAGTACCAAAGCTAAGCCAGTAAAGGATCGTTCGGCTTATCCCTGGGAGAAGGAAGTGAATGTTGCCTCGAGCAAGAAAAATACGAAAATGGAGCCAACCTCCACGCTGTATGGTGGTGGTTCTGCCATTGTTGACGAGGAACCAAAGTTTACCACGAGCAAGGAATCCCCTTTCTTACCTCGGCGACCACGAAGGGAGAACAGCTTTGGTAACAAGCCCGCGATCAACGCGGTGGACTCTATTGACGATGAAATCGAGGAAGTCATTCTATGAAGCTGACATCGGAACACTGGTCACTTTGATTTTGGAAAGACACTGAAAAATTAAATCATACCAAGAGTTATTTCTGTTGCTATGCATGTATAAAGATACCATAAAATTCCTACTCGGTAAAGATTTGGGGAGTCAATCTCTACGAGTACACATTTATAATTTAACTTCAACAAATTAACGTTTACTTCAATAACAAGTGGAAATGTAGGGCTTCCAATGCGCTGCAATTTGTTATTTGAAAATGGCTTTCCAAATTCAAAGTGAGTAATGTTTTCACATCTGAGCAGTTGTGTTGTTGTTTGGAAATTCATTGCAGATGTACATGTTAGAAATCTACAGCACTACGAAATTAATACCTGACCTCATGTTACATTCAACTCAGTCATACTGAAATCACTGCCCTGAACCATTGTGTAAACTTGTTCATCTCCAGTTGTACATTTGAGCATTCCCAGATGTTTTATTTCTAATTAGCAAGTGTCTTTTGAGACCACAAAGAAAACTATATTGCCAGTTTTAAATTCATGACAAGAAAGTATATTCTAAATTGCAAAAATGCAAGTGCAAAATGCTTTGGTGGTCCCTGACTTGATGGCAAATTTCAGTTTTGTTCCTAACAGTGTAAAAAAATTGTCTTTGATGAAGTGTTGTCAGCAGGGTATGTACATAACATGTATGTAATAAAATCCCTATGCCTCAACTCGGGGCAATGGTACAGATTTAAAGGATATACTAATATATGTGACATATACCCGTAACATCATTATATTGTACCTGTACAGGTTAACGGAAAACAGTCCAGTAAGCCATGACATTTAAGATTTCTTGCTCCTGTCTCTAAGACTATGGATCAGATGTCTATATCACATCATGGATGATATCACCATGAACTAAAACTGAGTCTGTGTGTGCCAAAATATGGATATACAGTAAGAAATACTTGCTGTTGGGTTTTATCTTGTTGTGTTGGATGTGCAGATCTCCCCTACATACAGTCCTTTTGTCAGTGCAGGGGGAAATTGTTCACAATGGTCTACAGGTGCAGTGTACCATAAACTTAAAGAGAAATGTCTTAAAAGAAAAATTTACAATTAATGTCATTGTTGGCAAGGCCAATCAGTAAGTTGATGACAGGGAGGTATACGGTAAATCCATTGCAGACAGGTCAGTTATGTACATGACACAAAACAGATTTTAGATGCAATGTCAGCATGTAGCAAAGTGTATAACTTCAAGTGTACATGTTACATTCTGTACTTCAACACAATTGTGTGTATTTGCCCGAAACAATTAAATTAACAAAGTCAGGTACACCGTACATGTATGTAAATGAAGCAAGTTGTACAGCCATATACAACAGTGTAGTGTCAGAAAGCAGTTTAATGTACAAATAAATACCTTTCCTGCAATACGAACCACAAGTAGTAACGATACAACAAAGTAGGCTGCTTTTATATGTACAGAGAGTTTTTAGAATGCAGCTTTTAGTCAAAGATGTGCTTCCAAAGTCTGAAGATTGTCCTAGATGTCACTATATGGCTGCGGCCATAGTTTTAACAGCGATGGTGCATAATTTAAATGTACAGACAAAATTTTAACCCACATCGCGTCTTACGTGTGTAAAATTCTGTGTACAGGTGGACTGCTTCATTAAAACCTTCCGCAACTCAAACTGTCGTCATCCTGTTTTTCTATAGGGGGTTGGTAGGAAGATCATGATACACGTAGTAGTAACTAGTAGTACATTTGTAGTATCTACAAGGAAATTTGACATTAATTAAAATTACATGTACTGAGGACACACCACCCATTTTCTGTACTGAATGTGGTGTCAAGGTAGACTCAAAGTTTGTCTACTAATACATTACATCATATAGGTGTGGCAGGCCTGGCCAACTACACACTGTATACTTGCACATTATTTACACTGGTACTCCTGGCACCCTATGTGCTGATGTTGCAGACATTGTACATGATAGACTTGCTCTCCAGCCACTCTGCAAGCTTGACTGTACCAGACATCCTCCAGTGATGATGTTACAGCTCTGTGGTCTCCCAGCAACAGCCCCCCTGTCAGACCAGCACAGCTGAGACTCGGTTACACACAACCAGCCAGAATGTGATACCAACAGCACCTAAACAGGACACAAAATAGATTAGAAAACAAAAACTGAACTAGTACCTTGTGATATCCTTGCTCTAACAAAAACTCTCTGGAGGCATTTTATTGATGTCATAATCGATCAGTCACTATCACTCACTATCCAGGCTTTGAGTATACATGTAATAATTATCATATGAGTCCCGGCATCAAGGTGTTGGCAGGTGAATTAATTACAGAAGCAGTACATATATGTTGATGTTTTTAAAGATATACACTGTAATCCAACATGGCACATGTGAAAAGGCTGCATACATGTACACGTACCTGAAACTCCAGATGGAAATGCCACAACGCCCCCTAGCGGGTAGAGCCAATCTGCAGGCAGCAGCAGCACAGGTTCTCCTCTGTATCTCCACATTAAGGACATCATCAGGATGCCCTGGACATAATGAAGGAAACAATTCTGAATGGATATCATTTTGCATACAAGCAAATACAAAGATAGGAAGATAACAAATAACTTCCTATATATTTGGACCATTTACTCCTAAACTGCACAAAATAAAAGAGATGGCTGATAGCATAATGCTAAACATGAAATACTCACATAGCAGACATAGAAAACAGCTGACATCACCCAGGATACTTTAATTGCAAGTGTTGACTTCTCTCTGCCTGAAAAACAACCAACGAAAAATTTACTAGTAGGTGTAATCAAGATATCTTAATACAACAGTGTTCAGTGACAACATGATCTGGCTGATTGTATTAAACTGTAGGTGTAGGTGTAGGTGCAAGTATGATTGGCTAGATGATAGATTGACTTACTCCTTGGTCAATAGATTAATTGCCTAACCTGTCTGACTTATTCCGCATAGCAGTCTTGCATTTTTGATTGATTGATTGATTGATTAATTGATTTACTGACTTGATTAAAATTATTGACTCACCTGTCTGTTTGAGCTGGTCCCTGATCTTGCTGATTTTACGCTGCAGACGCGCATGTCTGGCGAACTCGTCCTTGATGCTGACCGAGTCCTGCTCCGTCGTCAGTCGCCTCAACTCCTCCTTCAGCTGTCTCACTCCTTCTGTCTCTCTCTGAAGGTAGTTCATCACCTGCAGAACCCAGAAACCAGCAAATATAACATATTACATTATTCTATAATATAGAGAGCAGAGATTGTTTTAAGTTTAGAAAAAGGCTGGAAAAATCGAGACATAACATTTCAACCCTGTACGAATATCTGTGACCAGGGGAAATAATTCAAACGTAGGCAAATATATAGTCTATAAATTTGCAACTGACTACGGCCACTGACTACTGGGTACATGGGTGCCCCCCTCCCCAACTTTAAATCCCTAAAATTTACGAACGTTAAATATCAAATACTTAAAATTTATTGCCTATAATATGTCGATCTCCTACAGTTCAAAACTCACCAGTTTGGCTGCCGCTGGTATCAGTTTCTTGGCTAAACCAGACAAATATACGGCTAGAAATATGAAAATCGCGAAAAGTACAGCCATTTTGTTTTGGTAGATACCATTGAAGCAAATGGGGTTTACGATCATTGTCTAAATGTGTGATTTTTTTCATATTCACCAAATCAAATATTCGTTGTCTTATTCTCTAGAAATTAAAAAAGTATGTATAATAGAAAATAATGTTCTTTTTTTATGAATACCTTGGATTTGAATCGATTTAATTGATAACAACCCTACTTGAAAATGTAGTCTTCCGTAAAAGTTAAAGGTTATATTGCCGACCAATGAGAGGCGAGAATTCTCCCCACGCGGGAGACACACGTCACCTTTGTTTGGGCAGGCCCAGGCGAGCTGTCCGTGTTTTTGTCCCAAAATTCACCGTTTTTTCTTGAAAAGGCGTCACGACGATCGCCATAACCATCCGAACAGCTGTGTCCAGGTGTAGAGCAGCGTTCTATCTTCCAACCATGCCGAAAAGAAAGGCGAGTTTCGCTTAATCTAACGTTAGATGCAAGTGTCATAATTTGATACCAGTACCAGTATCTAGTACAATGACTTGATTTCCATAAATCCCATATATATGTAGATCAAATGATTTTATTGTTATATTCGGGGCGGAAGTACTGTTTGGGGGAGCTGTTTTATTGGGGTTTATATGTATGGGAGGATTGCAATTTGAGTGGGTGGAGATTTTGTTTCAGCTGATTGACAGGGTTGTAAGTTATGGATTGATGTTGTACTGTGTAATGTTTTGAAAAATCTCTGATTTCTTGTTTTGAATATCTTTTATTAGTTATAGACAGACAGCAACAGAACCTGGATTAGAAACAATAGCCTTAGTCTTACTACCGTAACCATACACAGCTACCCATCAGACATAGTTTTAGACACAGTTTCAGACAATTACCTCAGTAGATTTTGAAGTTATTTTGCACTCAATATTCTTTTATCCTTGTTATTTGCAATTATCCTTCGGGCAGGAATTTTCAATAAACTTATTCTTCGTTAACTATGAGTCATGGTATGGCAGCTACACAACATTATCTTTCAATCAAAGTAACAGTGTCCCTTGAAATGTCAGAGAACGAAAACACTTGAGTCACAGGTTCTCCTTCAGATAGGACAAGACATCTTCCATCATCACCTTGGCCGTCTCAGACTCCTTGAAGTCTAAAATCTGGCCGTGGTATCCGACCTTGTAGTGTAACATCTTCACCTTGACCCCGGCTTGTTCGAGACGTTTGGCATAAAAGATGGCGTGATCTCGGAACACGTCAAACTCCATGGCTGAGATGAACGCCGGTGGGAGACCCGAGATGTCCTCCTCTTCAGCAAAGAGAGGTGAAACTTCGGGGTTCAGGGCCAGCTCAAGTATCTCGTCTTCACCATTTGCTAGATCTTCCTTCCTTACATGTCTGCCAGGAGGCAGAGGGGGGAGAGTTGGATCCACTATGGCAGGATCAAGGAAGTTCAGATACTGGCTACCCTCCAACTTTGCTCTGGCAGGGTTCTTGAGCATGTAGGCTAGCTTCGACCTGTTGCCATACAGATACAGAGAGGTGAAGTAGGCTAACTCCCACACTGACTGCAGTTCACAGGGACCGTACTTGTAGGCAGATGCGGTGAACATGAGAAGCTGGGTTACAGGGTACAGGAGGAGCTGGAGTTTCAGAGCAGGGCAATGTTTTTCCTGAGCCAGTTTCAGAGCCACCACTGCAGCAAAGTTCCCCCCGGCACTCTCACCAGCGATTCCGATACAGGATGGGTCCACGTTGTACCTGGGGAAACACAATGTAATGTCACAAGGAAATCCACATAAAGATCATCAGTAACATGCATGCCACGCACCCTTAAAATACTTTGCTCTTAAGTACAAAAATGTACTAGTACTAGTATGGAGCTCACCTTCTGGCATGCCTAATGAAATACTTAGTTGCCGTCATACAGTCATCCAGTCCTGCTGGGAACTTGTGCTCCGGTGCAAGGCGGTAGCTGTGATGATTAAAAAAACAATCAATTTCTTGTGGGGGGAGGTACTACAAAATGAATGTGTCTCATGTGGACAGTTTTAGCCCCAACCATAAATCTTAGACCTTAGAAATTTGAGATAATAGCACAAATATGAGTACTTTCAGTCATCTTTGAGTTGTACATGTATTACATAATACATGTAAATATATACTTTGAAAAAAAAAAACAATGTTCTTACTTGACTGAAATGATCACAATACCCAGCTCTAAGGCAAGATGTGATGTTAGCTTGAAGCATTCAGCTGCAAACAGGACAAAAGGACAACAAAATCAGGCTTCAGTATTCAAGGATAAAGCTATCTGGGATTAAATGACATGAGTGGGAAAGAACTATCCTTGCAAAATAGCCTACAGAATTTATCATTGCAGAAAGAAGACTCTACTAGCCTCCAATAGGCCTTCCTAATGGGTTATGGATAGTGGCAAAAATATTCCATAAGCCATGATAACATTTCTTGGAGCAAGTCAACTCTGTCGTGGGCACACTCCCCTGGCCTATTTAGCTAGATTTTACAATCTTTCAAGTCACATTCAGTTGGTTACCTGCACTGCCCAAACAAAATCCCCCACCATGAAAGAACAGGAGTCCAGGGACAGGGCTTTGCTTCTGTGCGGTCAGTGGCTCCAAAACCATGACCTCGACTCCATCGAAGGTCGTCTCGGTGACCTTCAAGAGTGACCCTGGAATGAAGATTTTGGCGTGCCTGACCTTGTACTCCTTCAATGCCCGTAAAAAGTGGACAACAGTCGTCAGACCGAGGAACTCCAGAACTGTCCCCTGCAAGTACACAGAAAATGGATTTATTTGAAATGTGTCTTTAACCAGCATAATACATTTGTACTTAACTTACCTACATCTATTTTCCTACTGATTGTGAGAATGATAGATAAATGTTAAAATCAGTCATCATCAGTAGGAACTGATGCATGCAGGATCCTCCTGGTGTTAGTGGATCAAACCTTACAGTATGGTCTTACACAGTCTGTTCTTTGATATTGGCTGTGAACAAAACTGCTGTTTTGCACCTTGAGGCAGTTTATGTATACAACACCCCCCCCCCGCCCCCCCCCCCCCCCAATAAGATCTATAAAAAAAAGAATGTTACAATAGAAATAAAAACAAAGTGACTTACAATATCCACAGCGATTGTCTTCATGCGAACTGCGACTTTTCGCTTCTCCCTTTCGGAAATCCCCTCCGGTGGGACAGGTGTGTACCTCCAGTACATCAGCACACCCACAACACTCAGCACCATGGCAATCTCAACCCACACCATCTTTAAAAAGTTAAGATTCACCTCAAGACTCTGTCTAGTGTCTACTGTGTAAAACCTGTCCTACAGTCAAGCCTGTTTGTCATATGAGAACTGAATGTTTGGCTAGAATGTGATGCTTGCAGTCAGCTTGGGCAACTTCAAAGGAGTTCGCTGTTTTACAACAGAGCAGGCTTTAGTTTTTAAGCTTAAAATGGTCCCCTAAAGTCCCAAGGATTCAAATTTGGAGAACATCCACGCAACCATTGAACTTTGCCAGTTTTGTATATTAACCGTATGAGCAGTTATGTGCGGTTAAGAATTGCATCACTTCTTGTTTCATATGGCCAGTCTTTCCCTTCTGACATCTGCTTGGTTTATATTCATATGGTAATATAGAGTGAGTGGAAAGACTTGTACCCCTATGGATACCGGTTTTTCCACTTTAACCCAGTAACCTACATTTGTGCTAACCAACCAGCATGATTCACATCACAACCTGGGGCCTTCTGCATGCACTGGTTTGTCAACTTTTGATTCTAATCGTACCTTGTGAATCATAGACTGTTGTGTTGGTGTGTGTATACTGTGTGTCGTGAGGATAGACAGTCTGGACTATTCTGTAAGCTGCTGTTTTAACAGAGACTTTAATTATCCTACACCTTATCTCTGTGAGAATCTGGATAATGTAACATTCCTAAATCCACCTCTAAGGGAACCTAGTTAACATTTTTCTGTTCGTATAATTTTTAACAGAGATACAACAAAACATAAACTATCATGATTCCCAAAGCTGCCCAGTAGTGTTCAAAATATAAAATCTGAGAATGCCACTCCCTGAGGTCAGTGGAAGTTTCTCCATATAAAACGTGCACTAGTAGTACCTGTTGTGGACTAATGGGAAAACAAATGGTCTTTAAAATAAACATGCCGTCTCGTTTCCTCAGGCCGCAGGGGATGCAGAACCAGCCAAGAAGGCCAAAGCAGAAGCCGGAGGGACGTCGTCGCAATCTGACTTCTCATCCAATGCTAAGACTAAGTCTGGGAAGTAAGTAGTCTGGTCCAATGACGAATATGCTTGACTTTGATTTAATTGATCGAATTGATTTAATACTTTGACAACAGGATGATCTTCAGTCTCATTTAGGTAATGTGATTAATTTTCCTTTTCCGTAGACACTGGAACCTGAAGATTGCCTCGTGGAATGTGGATGGACTGAGAGGAACAGTTAAGGTACAAGACTACATTCATATATGCTTCCATTCAGCATGGCAACGTAATTACTACACAGACATTCCAGAGAACAATGCCAAATCCTGTGCTTGTCTTGTATACATTGTTGCTCAGTTTGTCTATGTATGTATCCAGGGCCTCTCTGACTAAAAAGCAGTACCTGGTCACTGAGATAACCACCCTGAGAAAACAACTCAGAATTATGTTTTCCTTCACATGGCCCAGCTTAACAGACTACTGCTTTGTTCTTTATCCTTATTGCCCCTCTTGAACTCAATTCTGCATGGCACTTGCTATATTATGTAACCCAACACCAGTTACCAAGGTGACGGACGTCTGGTCCTGGTCATTGACCTTATTTGTTTGGAACGGAAGAAGAGGGGGAAGAAACTGAGCAAAAAACAATATATTTTCCTTCTGCGAAAGTGAACATAATTGAATGAAAGTAGATAATTTTTTTTCCTTTTCCAGAAAAACGGGCACGCCTACATCACGCAGGAGGACCCCGACATCATCTGTCTGCAGGAGACCAAGTGTACGGACAAGGATGTGCCCAAGGAGTTCACCAGCACCGTCGAGGGTTACCATGGTTACTGGTACTCACCCACCGAGAAGAAGGGGTACGCGGGGACGGCCCTGCTGTCCAAAACCAAGCCACACAAAGTCACCTACGGGATAGGTAAGGCATTCTTCCAACACTGGTCGCACTATTTGGAGCTGAAATCTTCTATCTATTCTAAGCACCATTCTAGCCAGCGTCAAACACAAATGAAATTATATTTACCCCAAGTTTCAACCGAGCAGCATCACTCTGTGCTTGAAAGTTCATCTGTGGTGGTAGAAAGTTAAAATCATCTTTATTAACTTTTGTCAAACATACAAGATGAGTAGTGAAAACACCTAGGTCAATTTCTTATTTTGAGTAACTGTTAAGGAACCGATGGGATGCAAGGTATGTATGCATTCATTGTGAAGCAAAGTTGAATTGTAACTTATCCAACATAAAGCATGGACTTATCCAGGAATGATTAAGACTGGATTCGGCCAATCTTTTTGTTGGGAATCACAGTTCAACCTTGCTTCGGCATCAATTTGTCAGGGAATGAATCAGTCTACTGTTTTCATGTTCATTAACCAACATTTCGTCCCCCCACCCCCACCCCCCCTTCCAGGTGTAGAGGAGCATGATGATGAGGGTCGAGTCATCACAGCAGAGTTTGACAACTTCTACATGGTCACAGCCTGTAAGTACATGTATGGGGAATGTTGTAGGGTGTTGTGGAACTAGCATTTGGTTAGGGTTGTTGAATCTAAAAGTTATGGGTTCGAATCCCTAGTAGACCCCAGTGCTGTGTCTTTGAGAAAGGCACTTTATACACTCAACTCCAGTGAATCTGACTACTAAATACCTAGCTTGGACAGTGTGCCATCAGCCATTTTACCTATTGTGACATGTACTCGTCATACAATGTCACATGACGGAAAGAAGATGTTATCTGCATTACTAGAAAGACATTTTTAGTATGAGAAAGCAGGTATTGGAAAAAAGGAAAATAGCACTAAACTGATGTTGACTTTGTTTTTCCAGATGTTCCAAATGCTGGCAAGAAGCTTGTTAGGTGAGTATCTTGTCGTCAGGATTTTGTCATCTCGTCTTGTCTGACTACTTGGTCCCCTTCTTATGTTATCCTATCTGTGTTCCAAGCTAGACATGACAAAAGGCATTGTGTGCATGATCCTGACCTGTATTCATCACAGGCTTTTGTGCTCCTAACCTGTCTGTATTCCAGGCTAGACTACTGCCAGACGTGGGACCAAGCATTGTGGATTCTATGTTAGTCCATAGTGATTCTAACCCATTTGTGTTCCAGCCTGTAGTGATCCTAACCTGTCTTTTATCCAGCCTGTAGTGATCCTAACCTGTCTGTATTCCAGGCTAGACTACCGCCAGACGTGGGACGAGGCCTTTACAGACTACCTGAAGAAGCTGGACAAGAAGAAGCCGGTGGTTCTGTGCGGGGACCTCAACGTGGCGCACAACGAAATCGGTGGGTACTGCAAGACGACCTTCAGGAAAATGACCTTGAAATTGGTCTTGAGATGGCTGGCTCGTCATGTTAAGGATGGGGTTTGAACTTCTTTGCTTTAAGCCTTTCCACAAACTAAGCAGTAATACATTTGTACATGCTTGTGGCTCGAAATACTATTTCTGTTTCTGCCATATGTGGCTCATAGCACTGAGAGTAAGACTGTATTCTTTACGCTTGCCAGATTGCAAGTTGTTTGTATCTGTGGCCTCAAACATTTCCCGTATATTGTGGGTTAATTTTTTGAGCCTCCAAAAATGAAATACTTGACAGATTAATGATCAGTAGATCGAGCTGGAGGCTGCACTACTAACTTAAAAATGGATTTCAGACTTGAAGAACCCAAAGACCAACAGGAACAAGACTCCCGGGTTCACAGACCAGGAGCGGGAGGGGTTCACCAGTCTGCTGGACCAGGGCTTCAAGGACAGCTACAGGTGGGCGGGGCTTTGTGCTTTGAAATTTTGGTTTTACCTTAGTTTAATATTTCCTGTTATTAATTGTATGATTAGGGTCACTACATAGCAAGGCTGAAAAGCCCCATGCAAGCATTTGCAAGACGAGAAAGATGAGTGTTGTACTGATGAATTCATCAATGTTCAATACATGTATTATGTAACTGATGATGTCTTTTAACAAGTCACTTTCCCTCCCACAGGGAACTGTACCCTGAGGAGACAGACTGTTACACTTTCTGGACTTACATGGGGGGAGCCAGGGCCAAGAATGTTGGCTGGTGAGTCCCAACAGCTTTTCTGTGGTGTAGAATTGTAACATTAGTATCAGAATATATTCATGGCTATAAGATCTGCCGGTATATGCTAGTTTTTCATACATTTTCTTAATTAAAAAGTGTTGGACATCAATCTTCTAGGGGCCTGACTAGTGGAAAGGCTGCTAGAAGTGTGATGTAGTCAGGCTGCGTGCCACTCTCTGAGTGCCTTTCCTAGTAAAGTTGTAACAGTGGGGTTCAATTGCCACTAGCTGATCCATTCCAATGGGTCCGGATCTTTTGGCATAGTCGTTAGCGCGCTGCTGTTGTAAGCTGGATGACCGGTTTTGATTCCTGGTGTCTCAGGAGTTTTCCTTTTTCTACCCGCTCCTGTTTGTTTCATTGTATTTGATGAGAACACTTCTGTTTTCCCCCTCCTCAGGCGACTGGACTACTTCGTGCTTTCGGACCGGCTGATGCCACACCTGTGCGATAACGTCATCAGGTCAGGGGTCATGGGCAGTGACCACTGCCCCATCGTCCTGCTGCTGGCCATGGGCAAGTAACGACCTTGGAGTCGTGGAACATGACCTTGAGAATGTCGGAAGGACGTGACATCTTACAGAGCTCAAGGTTGCAGAAAGGTCACGGTTTTCATCCAACAAAAGGTCAAATGTGTAGAAAAGTCATATACGTTACATTTGAAAGTAAAGTTGGTCAAAAGGTAAAAAAACATACATTTTATAGAGGTCAGACTCATAGGAAAAGTTTTGTAGAGATCTGTTTGTAGCTGTTCAGACAGTGCACAGGTGTAAATGTTTACTAGAAACCACACTCTAGGAGGTTAACCCATTGTTAAACATTGTATGTGTTCCCCTAGCTGCTAGCTTAGAGAAATATTAACATGGAGAGAGAGGCTAACAAGTCACATAATTGTGTAGCTGTTCAGACAAAGTTCAGGTATATTGATGTTTACAAGTCACAATTTGGGAGCTTATTCCATATGGTACTCGAGTTTCCTAATCTGTTAACTTGGTGATTGAAACAAACTGAATTTCAGATTTTAACAGAACTGACAATTCATCAGGCTAATACAGCAGTCTTTGCATACAGTTTCCAGTTTAGGTATTAGAAACCTGAAGTCACTCTGAAAAGTGGTGGTTTGATACAATGTGTGCCATATTGTTTGGCATACATTTTGTCATGTCAAACACAAGGTGCTACATGTAGCAGGAAAGTTCATCTCTATCAGTAAATAACATGCAAAATTCAGCATTTTGCCATATAAAATTGTGCCAATGGTGTTCCTGTGGGAGTTTTGAACCATGGATATAGATTTTGGAGCTGAAGTAACAACTAGATGTATGTAGAGAATACCCTCTGTGAATCACATCAGACTGCAATTTACTTCCCTTATGTACTTTAAGGTGCAATGCAAGGTTGATGTAGTTTGAGTAGTTTTACTCCCTAAGAGGAACAAGAAGTTGTTTTAGCTGTTACAATTCAAACTGACATTGAGTAAGTGTACTAACGTTCTGAATAAAGAACTTCAAGAAGATTCAACAGTTTGCTGGTGAACAACGTTTGTCTTGGCTTTTCCGTATACATAATAGGTGTGTGTCACTGTGAGTGTGTGTGTGTGTGTGTCAGTGTGTGTGTTACTGTGTGTGTCAGTGTGTGTGTGTGTCAGTGTGTTATGTGTGGAAATGAACACTAGTAGAATAACAGCTCTTGTAGAGGCAAGTTTATTAACCTGCTTTCCGCTCAACATATCTCCAAAACTTTTGAAAAAGTATGTACATGGTCGGCTACAAAGACAATCAAGTATAACCTTATATACAAAGCACACGTCACCACCCTACTGTACAGTTTTGGGCAAGGATACACAGATTGTGAAAACTGTTCTTTGGAAATAACAAAAAATATGTTGATAGAAACTGTGTCCGATTGTTGTGCAGAACAGCTTAAAGCATTTCAACATAAACTGAACAAAACTGTAAGAAATGTGCATAGAACAGTTACCTTAGCCATCTTCCATTGCAGTATATTGTCAGTCACTGTTTTCATATTGACATTTTTGGAAAATTTGGCTTCCAGACTTGCACAGATTTAGTTTGCTCCACCACTGTTACATCATTGCTGGAGCAGACTAAAACTATACAAGGCTGAAAGTCAAGCTTTGAACTGTGTTTTGATTGCTACTGATTTGTGATGTTTCTATGGTACCAAACAGAAACCAGTACAAAACTAGAAAAACAAAACAGCAATAAAACACTAAATATTACAACTGTGGAACACATCAGTAACTTACAAAGTACACGTACTTAACAGAAGACCCTGAAACGGACACTGATTGTGTAAGAACCAAGCATTGCACTTAAATCAACAGTTCCGGACCATACGCTGTGAAAGGACGTAATAAAGCATTCAAAACTGCTTCTGCAACAAAATGGCCTGAAAACCCGACACCTTTACAGCTCCTGGCAAACTTTACTCCATACAACGTTAACATTTGGCTGCATTCAAACCACCCATCAAACTTCAGTACAGAAGCAAGAGTATGACGTTCACAAGACACGACACTTAAAGACGTTCTAGTATCAAAGACAGGGTTCCTACACAAGGTCAAGTGGAAATACGTAACCTTGTCAAGGTCATGTCAAGGTCATGCCAAGGTTACTGTAGTATACGGTTGCTGGGAATTTTGGACAATCAAATAAGACCTTTTCCTAGCAGTCATTTAAACCTGGTACTGGGTATATGTAATGTTTCAAATGTCAAATGGACGAGAATTCTCGAATGTGTATCAAGGTATCAATGTTTCTATAAAATTTGGTACGACCTTTGGAACATTTGTGAGAAATTCCATATTTGCAGTCTTTTCCACATTTGAAGTGACCAAGTTTGGTGAAACTTCAAAATGTTTCCAGATTGTGTAGGACCCCTGTGTTGCCTAATATCCTAACAATAACTACAAACTCTGTCTCTGGATTTAACATTAGCTAAAATATTCCTAATAGCAAAGAGTGCACTGTGTTAAAGAATGGCATTGAGTAGAAAATTTCTTGTTAAAAACGGCAGATTCTTCTTCGTGTAGTTACAAACTATTTGTACAAACGTGAGGTAGATCATGTAGCCAGATATGTCAACACAGACAAGGCAACGTCATCATTGTTCGTTGGTCGATCAGATAAACAGTTAACCTTCCCCCTGCTACAGATGCATCCATGCTTCATATTTGTACTGTTTACAACTCAAGGCAGCAGGAGGAGGGTTAACATGATACCCTTAGCTCTGCTGCAAAAGTCTTGAGAATGGCCAAGGATTTTAACCTTTTTCTGCTAAGACTGTGCATCTAGGCACCAAACCTGTAGTGCTTACAACAGAACTTAGCAGGTAGCCAGTTAGTTTTCTCTGTGGTAAAAAAGACTACTCCTAGTTCAGTAAGAAAGATTGTACGTTTTTAAGAACATATTGCAGTTAGAAAACTACTGATGTGCCTCGGACGGTGGTAGCAGCAGCTCTGCAGATGTGAGAGGAAGGCCTGAAATGTACCGAAGTTCTGTAAAAACCCTGGACCTGATTCTTGTCTCTAGAATCCGACGAGATTCGCCCTCGCGCGTGGAGTGAGCTTTCTGATCCTCCCGCTACGAGAAACGCTTCTTGAAACAGCGTCAGTGTCTGAGTCCACATCAGAATGGTCGTGATAAAACCGCGTGCCTCGGTTGCTAGTTCTCGTATTATACGGCCTGTCACCGTCATCGTAATCTGAGTCATGCTCGTACGCAACTTTCCGCCTTTTCGAACTCCGCGACTTGCCGTTTACATTACTGTGTGAGGTTGCTTTCCGCTTCTTACTTGACGAGTTCTGTGTTTTCCGTTTGCGAGAGGTTTTGCCGTCGCTCTCCGAGTCGGAACTGTCAGAGGAGCTGGAACTGGAGTCCTCGCTGTCAGACGAGCTGCTGTCACTGCTACTGGACCCACTACTGCTGCTGCTGCTGTCCCCACTGCTGCTGCTGTCGTCGCTGCCCTTGTCTGAGGACAGCTGCTGAGAACGGGCCTTCGCACGGGTCTTGTACTCCTTCGTGTGACCGTTGGCAACCGGTGTTCTTGTTTCTGAAAGAAAATTGTTTCATTGAATTTACATCAATTCGGTTCAGTTTGGTAGCTTGGTCAGTGTCTGTGTTCAAATTTTACATTAGCGAACTCGCCAAAGTTCTTTCAGTTTGAGTCAGAATCTGTACCATATGCAATTTGCTTCTTGTTACCACGGAGATGGAATGCATTGATCTTACCACTCTTACACTACAAAATGAATGGAAATAGTGCTATGAATTTAAGACCAACGTATCTATACTATATGTATCTCCTGTACCTGAACTTGAATCGCGGAGTTCCCTAGCGGAGCTTCTCGTGCTCCGGGTGGTTCTGGACGGTCTGGTCTCCTCCTCGCTCTGTTCCTTCTCGCTCTCTTCCTCGTCACTCCTTTCTGATGACGGCGACTTTATCCGCACTTTGGATGTCCCTGCAGTCAAGTTAAACATCAGTAAGCTTGCAACAGACATTAAAGACACAAATTGAAAAAAAAATTATTTGAAAGGGCTCATATACATAGTTAAGTTTAAGATCTCACTTCTGAAAGATGCTTCCCTCTGAATCATAGTATCTTAAGTTTATTTTCTTATTATCCCTTTTTTCCTAATATGCAGAAAAAATATCATCTATCAGGTATAAATATTATGCTTGAGGATTATTTCGATCTCTGCATTATAGACTTAAAAGTTACCTGAGGTAGCATTTCTTTGGCTGGATCTGGACGGCCTGGAATTAACTGGTTTCTTTTCCTCTTCTTCTTCCTCTTCACTTTCTTCCTCCCCTTTCATGACCTTCCCTGTTCTTCTTGGCTGTGAGGCTTGTGCTGAAGAAGGACCAGCCTTCTTTTTCTTTTCCTCCTTCTCCTCTTCTTCATCATTTTCATCTTCATCGTCTGTTTCCATCCTTTGGGATGAGGTAGATGGGCCGTCCTCTGTTTTGCTGCCTGTTTTTCTGTCTCTCCTGGAGGAGGTGCTTGAGGCCCCTGACTCCCGTCTCATTCTTGCTGCCTTTCTCCTACAAATGACAGAAACACAGTTTGAGAAACTGTTACTGAGAAATTCCCCCCCTCCGTAGTGGTTTCAACCACCATGTCTTTCCAAGGTCAACCTGTTTTCAAGGTCGAGTTCCTCCATGTTTAGAAGCAGGCAGCGAAACTACAGGGAGGCCGGGAGAACAATGAACACAAGGATGGAATGTGAACTCAAAAGCAACCTAGATCAGAGGAAAACATCACAGGGAGACTGAAGAACTGAAAAAAAAAAAAAAAACGCACAAGGAAACTAAAGAGAAGCAGCTTGTTGACCTATCACAACAGTTGGCACATTTTACTCAGACTAAAAGACTTTGGAAAGGGTCACCAGGAACTAATCTCTTTGGGAGGGGCAAAGACAGATTTGACCATTCAAAACAGTTTTTTTGGCAATTTGCAGTAACTTTTAGCCATCATTTTTGCAGGCATTTCAATGGTCTGTTTTGATCTTCTGTGTCATGCTTATTCATCCGGGTTTTGTGGACTTATCTGAGTAAAATAACAGCCTTATGTGAGTAAAACCAACCAAAGATTTTAAAGATCTACTTTCCCTGATCTACTCAATGACATGTTTTAAGTGAACCTCATCAACTACAGTAGGGACTGATTCACTACATAACTCTGAATGACATTCAGAGTTAAATATGCAGGGCTTGAATGTAACAGACTATTTCGAACCTCGTGCCTGCAAAGCACCACAGATCTAAATCACAGAGAAACTGTGCCAGCCGTTGTGATAGCCCTGCTAGCGGCCGGACCATGGATGTGAACTCACCCCGACTCCTGACTCTTCCTATAGTACCTGTTCTGGGCCAGGCGCTCCACGTGTTTCTTGGCGCTGCGCCACTCCGCCACGATCTGGCGTATGTTCTCCTCGAAGAACGCAGACAGTCTCAAGGTCATGCTGTAGATCTGGGAGGGTCAGTGAAACCAATAAGTCAATCAATCAATCAACTGGCTCATACATTGGCAGCTATATTGTATTACACTTACAGTTTGGTGCTGATTAACAGTAGAACTTGAAACACCGGTGATTTACATTATGACTATGACGTACATGTTTCATGCTATGTCTACAAAGAAGTTGGGCAAAAAGTTGGAGGCTTTTTTTTGGTATTTGAAAATATGTCACACACTGAAGCACACACTTGATGATGGCATTGTCTAAGACTAACAGCCTAAAACCTGACCAAGAGAGAACACAAATTAATTTCACTGTAGGACATTTTTATAGCTTCATGACTACTTGTGGTTGAAGGCTGTTGACGTGAGAGTTTCTCAGACCACCACAACTCTTCCTCCACAAACTTACAGCATCAGGGAGTCTTGAGACTTACCCGAGACTTCTTGTTGGGTGTGTACGTCTTGGAGTTGTTGAAGATGAGTCTGACGTCCTTGCTGAGCTCGGTGGGGTTCTCGTACGCGCCCACCATCAGCTGTTCCCGCACCGTACCCAGGTCCATCGGCGTGTCGATGATGTTACGGTAATCCTGAAGGTCAGGACAAGGGTTGTTTATTCGCCAATAGAAAAACATAAATCAATAAATAAATAAAGGCAGGAGGGATAAAGGTTTCTCCTAAGCCCTCCTCTTTTAGACTAACTGATAATCAAAATGAAATTTCAGTTGTTGGCATCCTACAGTTCATGGATTACTCTGATGTCCCGATTAAACGTACCGGTACGTTTATTTTTTTCGGCCCGAACGTCCACCCGGTACACTCTTATTAGGGACGGTACGTTTATTAATTTTTGGGAAAAAAATTGTCCATACGTACCGCACCATCAGCAAGTGGCCGGCGGCCGCAAAATTCGGCAACACGTCACAGATAAATATTTGGCCCATGATAGCGACATTTCCCATGAATATAATGTATATTATTTATTTTTCGCCTGCTGTCCATTTTTAAGTCCCAAAACGTCTGAAAAAGCAAAAATTTGCCCACAAAACCGAAGGGGAAGGCGAGTAGCTAATCGACGTATTTAGCACATGGCCGCAAGTCCTTGTCAAAATCGGCAACGTGGCAGAAAAATGCCTGGTCCATTTTAGCGATATTTACCATGAAAAAAACGTATGTGGTTTATTTTCCCTCTGGTGTTAGTTTTTAGGTCCCGAAACCCCTAAAAAAGGAGAAATTTGCCCACAAGACGGACGGCCGACGTGGGGAGGGCGCCTAGCGCCAGAGCAGCATGACCCGTAAAAAGTCAAAGGTCATAGGGCACCCATATTGCGCAATCACCGTAAAAGCGCCGATTTAGCTAATTTTAGGGCGTTTAAAATTGATACAATCACATCATGGATTTTTAAAAAAACAATGAGATGGAAACCAATCAAAATTTTATGCTGAATAATATTTTTTTTTCTTCAAAAGTTTTTTTCTTCAGAAGTTTTTCTTCTTCAGAATCCAGACTTTGACCAGACTAGACAATGTACCATACCAAATAATTATTATGTTGAAATGGATTTTGTTGTACATATACTCATTAAACCCCTATATTTGTACTTAATTGGGCTTGATTTTCTATGTCTTAAGTTAGTCAGATTTTCAACTCAAGTTGCAGGAGAAGGCTTAGCAAAGTGCATTTTAGAAGTGTAAAATGCAATAGCTTCTCCTACGGATTTTGTATTTCCCCAAAACAACATATATATAATACTCATTAATTAAATATATACTCAATATATATATACTCATTAATTAAAGTGATATATACTCACTAATTAAATGTAACAGTGAAAGATTTGCCCATATATTGGTATTGAAATAAAGAGCACATTTTAGTATCATGGACACACAGTTCACCTGTCAATTTGGTCATTTTCTGGGGGGTACGTTTATTCCGGAGGGTATGTTTATTAGACTTTGAAGATTTGTCCGGGGGGTATGTTTATTCCGGGGGGTATGTTTATTAGGGACATGAGAGTATGAAAATGAAAGATGGTTGTAATAAAAATCATAAATATAAGAAAATTCAATTAATACAATTTAATGGTTTGCAAATATGGAAAAATAATGCAATAAAGATACAATGACAAAGAATAATTCCACTTAAATACATGTACTCCTATGGGTATAACCTTAAAAACTTTTCAAGTCTAAGGTCAACGAACATCTGTCCTCACCGGCTATACAGTAACCCAAAACATTTGAGTGGCTCCCATGAGCCTTGTTTTGTGGTGAATCAAGAAGTAAATTAAAAAATTTTAAAAAAGTAAGAACCTACAGGATACTCCAGAGGGTCGACAGGGTTGCGGAAGGGCTCAGAATCCTCCATCTGGAACATGATGTTGAGCAGCTCCCGACACTGCCGCTTCCACATGTGGGGGTCAGGGGGGTCCTGGGACGGCGGGCGCGGCCGAGACTTACTCGAGCTCTGTTTCTAAACAAACAATGCAGGATCAGTTCCTGGCAAAGGAACATTCTGTAATCTTTACGTAATACAACAATAAATCAATCATTTGTATTTGTCACGATATTAGACTGTTTCTGTTTTTAATGAATCCAGGAAGAATAGATTAGAATGATAGGTCTAATCTAATGGATTTTCAATAAAACATCAAACATCAATAAATCTAGCAACTGGATACATTCTAATGGATACATTCTAGCATCTGCTATCTTCCTAAATTCTTGTTTGACAGTGAGTAGTGGATTCTCCTTACCTTTTTCTTGTTCTCATGTTGCTCTTCCTCTTCATCTTCCTCCTCTGCCTGTAAACACAAACTTGATTCAACACTTCTGTATCTTTTAAAATCAAGCAAAAGAAAGAACAATCAAAAGACTGAGCTAAAAGTAAATTGCATGCATTTCAGGAGTACAGTCCAACCTGTGGCCACCTATACATAAGGACCACCTGCTCAACATGACCACCTTTGGCTGGTCCCTTATATACGTTTAGACAGTACAGATTTCTGCAGAGGCATCTGAGAAACATTTCTTACATCTCCCTCCACGTCCACCTCCTCCTGCTCTCCTGCAAACCTGTTAAACACAGCAATGGCGTCCGTACACGAGTTGTCCCTGCAGAATACAAACATCCACATATAACATATCACAAAGAATGAAATAAGAAACTTATTTATAACCTACATTGTATGCGAAAGACATTTTTATCCTGCAAGTGATTTAAAAGGTTGCCTACCAAAAATGGGATAGACAATTATCCTAGCACAAAATGGCACAAAGACTACGTAAGTCAACATATACTTTTAAAATTGATCTGGTGCTATCTTAAGGGCGGAATGCCCCATATGGGGTTTGGCCCAGTATAAAATAGATGTCGATGAGATAAGATTGACAAGGTGTTTGAGAAAGATATTAAAAGCATGAACTTTTTTAGATTTTGTAAAATGAGAAAAACACTTACTTGATGACTTCCTGCAGGATTTTCGTGATGAGTCGTGCAGATTTAACAATCTGACTGTCGCTCTCGTTAAACTTCTCTGCGTTCTGTTCTATTCTCCGCACCTCCCAGTGTAGGGCTGCTAGTCTCCTGTGGAATCAAATTTAAGCTGTAAGAAAACTCTGAAAACTCTTGTTGACTGTTGCATAGATACAGTGGCACAGCAAGGTTGAAGATAACAAAATTATCATTATTTGACAACAGGGATCAGAGCTTCTACAGTTTTGTATATGAACAAAAATCATCAATAAACTGGATAGTGAATGAGAGAGAGTGAGAGAGAGAGAGAGAGAGTGAGTGAGTGAGTGAGTGAGTGAGTGAGTTTCCCTCAAGAGTTTTTAGCATGGTTTACAGGTGGAATATTCCATTAACATGCATGGGGGCAAATGTTCTGTTTTTTCCTTACCTGTACCACCTGTTTTCCAGCCTAGTTTTGATAGTGGTAAGGTCCGTGGGATATTCCACCACCATACAGTACATGGGGTAACAGTTCAGGTCCACCGGCGCGTTGAAGGCTTCAGCAGGAGCAAGGCTCATCACTTCTTCTATACACTGGAAAACCAAGACATGTGTTTTTAAGGCAAGACAGCTTTTTATAGGTTGAAGTTTATAGAACTGATACACCTTTTTGTCCCTTTCTGTTTCCTATAGTGTTAAATTAAAGTTGAATTATTCTGGATAATTTGATAAACATCTGAGTCTTTGCTTGTTTGTGTGTGCATAGGTATGTGCTTAGGGCCAAAGAAAGGAGTCCAAAGTTGTTACAGCAGATCTGGATACAGCAATTTCTTGTGCTCCAATACAGTGCCCTGCATATCTTATAACTTCATTCCTTCTGTAAGACTAGAAAGACTTGTACAGTAAATCTCCAACAGGTTCCACAACCACTTGAACCTACATAACGTCAATCCACAGGATAGAGGCAAGTAGCGGGCTGCCATCAAGCCACAGTATTGCTGTGCAAGTACATCTAACCCTTGGAAGTTAGGGAACAACAGACTATAAACCGGATAGTGAGTGAGTGAGTGAGGTTCAACTTACAGCGATGATCCTCTGACAGTCGGGTTCCCTCCCCTCAGAACTCCACTCTGACTCTTTAGGGTTGTACCACATGGCCTTCCAGTCATCTGCAGTGATCTCAATACCTATGTGCGCATCATCTGGGAGGTCTGGAAAAAAACAGCAAGTTTTAGTCGCCCTGACTAGATTTCTAGGCCTGTAACATCCACTAACATAACTCAGCCAGGTCATATACATCTGCCATCCTGACAAAATGGGTCCAAGAAGATCTCCAATGTACTACAACATACTATAATGCACTCTTGTTATGTAAACTTCTGAGAGAGGACTACAACCAACTGTCGGCGAACCAGATAGTCAACCTTTCTAGTGACAAGGGGAAGTGGACCGATGATGATGTATGTAAACTGTGCATACCTTGCTGCACTAGAGATGACAGTTTTTCAAAGTGGCAGATATATGTAACTTGGCTGATTAATGGTAATGGAGGTTAGGTCTTGGCCCCGAAGGAGTAACAGAAGTTAGGAAAAGCAGTAGTTCTGAAGGCGTTCTTATACGTTACGACATACGTCCGTGTATCTGCTCACCCATCTCGGCTGGTACACCCTCCAGGTCCCATGGGCTCATCCTTTCTGTCTCACCCGTGTCCCAGCTGGGGTGGGGAGGGGGAACAAAAGGGATCAGAGCTTCTATAGTTTTGTATGTGAACAAAAATTATCCAACTCAATCTGTATCTCTTATAAAGTGCGGTGTCTTACGTTCCAATAGCAGTCATATCCAACAACAGTAGCTACACATATAGCAGTATAGTTCTTTCAATCCACTTTATTTATCCTGATATGTATATCCACAAAATGTGTTTTGGCTTGTAACATGCTATGGGACATTAAGCCATCCAGTATATGGTGTGGAAGGGATCCTCTAGTGTCAATCCTCTGCACAATAAAGAAGCCAACACACTTCCGATAGGGGCGTGTATTGCCAAATTGTGGACATTTCAGTGTCATGCCTTTTTCCCTCCTTTGATGATTTACAGTGAGTGTAAAAGTTATAACCTGTCCACCTACCAGATATAGTGTCATACCTTTTCAGATTTAAGTCAACACACTTACCAAGAAGGATAGGGAATGCCAAATTGTGGGCATTTCAGGATTGTGTTTTCTCCTGTTTCTATGGCAAAAGATATACAGTGAGTGTAAAAGTAGTAACCAGTCCACCCACCAGACATTGAAGCACTGGAAGTGACTGTCTGGGTGCTCCTCCTGAAACGGCTCCTGACACTCGATGGTCCCAAACCACCACTGGTCATCAATAATGGCACGGAAACGGTCACCTACAGGGGTGGGAGAGTACAGTTGGACTTTCTTTAGTGGGAAGATCATACAAATTCTCGTGACAGTGCATCTGTGTACTAGTAGTAATCACAGTAAAATGTTGAACTTTATTCCAACACAAGGGCTACACAGAGATCAAATTCTTAACAACTACTTTCATCTTCATCAGGATAATTAATGACCAATCACTTCTGAGTGTAATCTCGTGACATCACAAATTTAATTTCTTAGTTCTCTGATGTGTTAAAGAAATGAAGAGGATCATACAGTTGAAAACAGTGTGCTTGGAAAGACACTTGAATCTGACGTTATTCACTTCCCAAGACAAGCTGTCACACACTAGGCAGATAATACATATCAAAATCAAAACAGTGCAACTGCAACAAATACATGACTACAGGAAATGAAAATGTTCATCAAACTAAAGAGGAGTAAATATGAACTACTGACCGACTTGCCAGTTGGCCTCCACTGACTGCTGGTACACCTGTCTCAGAACCAGGAAGTCTATCACATCTGGCATGTCATGGTACCTGGGAGGGGAGAGCCATCGTTATTAGATGTACCTGCTGTATACACCTGACATTCAATCTGGTAAAGCTGCCTCAAGACATTGTAGTTGGGTGCCATAAGCATATATAAGCACTCAACATTTGGGAAAGGCTATGAGCATTAAACACACACCACTACCAGTGGACTACCCCCCTGCTGTAGTGATTGAACAACTGTTGACCAAGGGCTACTGAACCTAATAACGCCACCCTATGCACCACACAAGGTGTGGGGAGGACCTTAAATTTTTTAACTAAGCATATGGTGTTTTGGGGAAACATTCCTGCTAAGAGTGGTGTGTAGATTACACTTAACCAGACTAACCTGATAGTAAAACTGCCTCCAGTGAGGACGCCTGTTTCAGGGTTGATGAGCCCCAGTTTCAGGCAGCAGAGCAGCGGGGGTCCGATCTCGTACCGGATACCGATCACTCGCACGATCTCCTGCTCCTGGGGAATAGAAAGAAAAGGCATTTCAACCTTCACACAGCAACATTGCAACAAGCAAACCACATGGTATGGTTGTCACTCTCAGAATCACTATTATTAGCAGATTAGCTAGTGTGTTATGCCAATGGGCGGTCATATCGGCTACACTGATAAATTTGACTTGAAACTGTAAGAACACAATACATGTGGGACACAGGTGGCTGTTGCCTGTGTTGTGTCCCACACATAGAAACGAATACAGGACAGGACAATACTCATTTTCACTAGAGTTATGTGAGGAAAGTCGTGTAAAGTGCCTCTCTGTGTGATGAGCTCTGCGACCTGTAAATGTAAGTTTTACAAGATGGCCAGGTACCAGAAGCTCACCCTGAGTTCTATCTTGTGCCAGGGCTGTTTGCGAGGGTTGATCTCGTACACCTTGTGCCTGCGGACGGCGTCCACGTACAGCTCGTGGCCCTGTCTGAAGTACACCACCTCGTCCCCGACCTGAGGCACGTACGGCGAGCGCCGCGGCTTCATGTCCGTGATCCACTTCGGCGGGAGGTACTCGTCGGGAATGTCGTCCAGAGACATCTGCTGGTCCATGTCAATGACAGGCGCGGGTTTCTATGGCAATGGGAGAACAGAAAAAAAATGTAAATACATGTAAACTGTGTCTAACTCTTCATTACTCAAAGTAAATATGTTTAGAAGCAAATAGATGTGGATTCTTATTACTCATTAAAAGAATATCTTTATCTGTGTTCCAAATTTTAAAGTTGCATCAATTCAGGATGATTTATTCTAGCACTCATTCTATGGAAACATAACAAAAGGCCAAAAAAACATTTTATTGTTCATTCAGTTTTCCTTACTCAACATATTCAAGTAATAAACCATCCTTCTTTTTACAATAGATAAAGTAGAATATCCTAAATTGTGTTCTTCTATTCCATCCCTCCCCCTTACCTTGTTTTTCCTCTTGGGTTTCTTGCTCTTGGGCGGAGGTTTGGGTCTTTCCTCGTCCTCTTCCTCCTCCTCCTCTGAAGAGTCGAGCGGCCGCCGCGGGGCCTTCCTCTGCCGCTGGGACTGCTTCTCGCCCCTGCTGCGCTCCTTGGGCAGCCCCACATCCTGGGTCCAGTCAGAGTACTCACTAGACTCACTGCAGGGGCAGAAGAGATTGGACAAAGCTCAGTCATGGGAATGAAGTGAGCAAGAGAGATTGACTCACTGCAGGGGCAGAGGACATTGTTTGTTTGTTTGTTGCTTTTATTTCACCAGGAGATACATCTTTCCTGAGGGCACTTTTCGATGTACCCTGGGGGGGGAAACTCTAAACAAAGGCCATGGACACAAGAGGCTCCCTCTCTCTATCCAGTTTAACGTCTTTTTTCCTTGAAACTGGGGGTTAGATGTGCTTGCATCAAGTTTTTTTTTAAGCAAGATTTTTTTACGACCCAGTCTTTGGAATTAAGTGAGCAGGAGCATAGCAGCCTTGCAGAAAAAAATGTAATTGAACCCAAACAGCACGTGCATTGATTGGTTTAACACTACATAAGACTTTTTGCCCTTCAACTCATGGAGGATGTCCTCCAAAAGGTCGTACTGACCTTTCACTGTCACTGCTGCTGTCCCAGACCTGGTCATCCTCCGATGTCTCTGTTCCTGACCCACCCTGCTCCATCTCAAGCTCAACCTGGAGAATACAACAGAACATCCATTACATAATGTCTTCATTGCACAACAGTTGTACAGGGTACAAAGTATGGCATCTACTAGTACATGTTCACTACATTTTCATAAGGCTAGCCTAACTAATACAAGACTAGTATGGGATAGGTATGAACTTTTACAATCATTGAAGGAGTTTACGTGAAGGACAAATGAAAGAAAGAAATGTCAGATCTCTATGAATAGTATGATAGAGAGAGGGGTGAAGGAGGCCATATACATCAGGGCCCATCACCCTACATTGAACTGCGATGGGGGCCGACATCGTCTACCAGATACCTTTGACCCAGTGTTGACGTCACACTTCAAAGAAGCCACGTGACAAGCTTCACTGGGTCAGTCTACTGAGGAAGACCAGAGTGACTGGTCGAAAGCTCTAGGTGAGAGAATTTTTTGTGTTGGACCAAAAGTTTTAACTTTAAACAGTATGATAGAGAGTCTTAAATCATCTAGACAGGTTGCAGCAAATAGAGAAGACACTAGCTGGTATGAGCCCTTTAAAGAAGTAATGCGAAAGAAAAGAGGTTAACATTTGTAATATGATGATCAGCTACGTTTTGGCAACTCTAAGCTTACATGTAATAGAAATCCAAACAAAGTAACTTGTTCTGACCTCAGATGAACTGTCGAACTCGGGAACCTGGCGCGACCGTGAGCGGCTGTGTGAGGTGTCCATGGCCATGTTGGTGCGTGTGCGGTACGCGTGTGTCAGCGTCTGTCTGTGCCCCTTCCTGTTCCGCAGTTTTCTCTCCGAGTCAGACGAATCATTCTGGAAACAACAGCAAAGTTTTTAACTACAACTATTGATCTATGTTAATACTATAACATTGTTCCTGTGCAATCTGTGATTCTGAAGGAAAAGCAAAATTCTTAATACAGTTGTACAAGTAGCACAACCACTTGAAAAATAGAAAACTCAATCAGATTCTTAAGACCACATACACCACTACCAGTGGACTGGCCCCTTGCTGTAGTGATTGCACAAAGTTGCATGGCCCAAGGGCTATTGAAATGGGGATGAGTGCTGCTCTCTGCACCATCTAGTGTGGGAGGGACTTTTAACTAAGTAAATGAGCTTCTCACCCTACTGATTGCTGCAGGTAGTGGTCTGCGTTTCCTCTCCATCTTGTACCTGGACAGTTCCTCCTCACCTAACCTCACTCTCCGCCTTTCGTCACTCCTGTAAACAACATAGACATGTCCATCAATGACTATTTCACAGTTATCAACGGCAGCTAATATAAAAATTTTAATGTTAGCTGTAGAATTCCAGAATCAAGCTTTGAAGACTGATATAAGGTTTGTAATTAGGTTTTTCCAAAATTCTTTGATTTTCTGTTGAGCACCCCAATCTTTTTCTGTGCATCTAAATTTTCAATAAATGCAATTTAGTCATCTTTTTAGAGATGGTCTCTGCCCTATATGTATGTGAGTACATGTATTATGAGTAGGACTTTTCAACACTAGCGTGTGCAAATCTACACATACTCGAGCAGTGCTGGTTCCATGTCCGGTACGACGACCCGTTTGCTCCAGGCCACCAGGTCCGAGTCGGAGGCCTGCTGGCTGACGGTGACGTTCCCGTGGGCCCTCCGCACGCCCTCCACGTCCCCGCTCCTCCTCAGACCGACCGGGGGGCTCCTCAGTCCGGTGTCGTCGTTCCTGACGGCCTGGGCGTCGCCGGCGTCCTCCTCGCCGTCCTGCTGGCGCTGCATCTCCGCGATCATGTTGTCCAGGATGTTCGCAGCCTCCTCGTCCTCGTTCTGCGGCCGCACCACTGCAGGGGCTTCTGGGATTGGACCCATGACCTCTGGTTGACCTGGAGACAAAAATGAATGAGCTGTTAGGATTTCCCACAAGAAGGTAATGTTTTGGTGAGTTCTAGTTGTTTGCTTGCATGGTACTTAGTAGGGTAACTGTATATATTTGATTGAACAAATGCAGGCAACCTGAAAGTTACAGAAAGGTTATCTACATTGCAGGTAAACCCGTGTGTTGTCGTGGGACAGGAGCAATAAATGCCTTGGACATTTGCAGAGAGTTTATAAAAATTGCATGTAAAACTTCAGCATAGTTACTGCATTTCAGCAAAAGTACAAAGTTTCTACAACAGTGTGCAGATGCGGACTGTACCATTAGCTGCCACCCCCACTTGTGGAATGAGCTGGTCTGCGGGCATGTTCTCCCTCCCAGGGACCAACCGTTGCAGACTGGGGGGGTGGGGGTTCCCGTCCACGTCCACCAGGAAGGGGGGAGGCATGAGGTGGGGGGCCTGCTGGGTCTGCTCGTCAAGCACGTAGTTGTTGGAGTCGCGGATGAGCGGGCGGTAGTCTGTGTGGAAAAACATCTCCTCTGGAATCTGAGGGGAGAAAAAAATTTTTTTACCAAAATCTAAGAATGAAGGAGGCAACATTGAATTATTTCTGTGGTTGTCAGACATTTTCTAAGTAGAAGTCAAGAAAGAAGACAACAAGGCCGCAAGGAAAACTTCACTCTGACTATATTTAATCCCTACAACTATAAGGCCCAACGCATAAACCTGGGACTTATTACTAGTTGAAATAAAAAACAAATCAAATTGGTGTCATCTATGACATCCATGTACATCTTAGTTTCCAAGTCCAATAGTACAAGCTAGATCATACCTGCATTTTAACACAGAGGTATCCCTAACAATACATTTGAAGGTGGTAATACCATTTCAATTCTTTATTGAAGACAAAAGCTAGTATGTAGGATATGTCTGTACCTTAGAGTAAGGCTCCTTGGACCCAAAGCCGAAGATGAGCAGATGTCCGTGTGAGTCGGTAGCAGCGAAGTGCATCCCAGTCGGCGAGAACTTACAGTCAAACACAGCTCCGTGACCCTGACCTTCAATCTGGGGGAAAATAAAAGTCAAGGTCAACAGTTGTTACAGGTGAGCAAAATACAGTGTTGTGTTTCCTGTTTCAGTCCTGAAAAAATTAGGGTCGGTAGGTAGGGATTATCTTATTTTTTGCTTTTTTTTATTAGACTTTGGCAATCTTTAGTGATCCAACTTATAAAATACAGTTTAACAAAGTAAAACTTACATGAGGACACTTATATTTTCAATGTTAATGCTGGAAAACCGATTGTACAATGTTTCATCACTCAGGTGTCAGATCAAGAAGCTAGAAAAGGTCGATCAGCTCAAAAAACTATGTCCCTTGCAGGGGTCCACCCAAAAAAAAGGGTAGGGTTGGCAGTTTTTTCTAGGGTCGGTCGGGAAACAGGAAACACAACATTTTTTTTTCCTAGGCCTTGTCTTACCTGAGTGTACATATATGTATAATGACTTTTTTCTTCATGAAAATCCCAGTAACTACTGTAGCAATCTGGGACTCACCATGTTGAAGAACCTCTTGATGAGACTGCCGGTCTGCAGGTCCCAGACCATGACATGGCCGTCGTGGCCAGCGCTCAGCAGGACGTGGGGGTCGGTCGGGTGGGCCTCCAGAACAAACACCTCGTCTGTGTGACCCTGGGGGAACATGGGAATAATGAACGATTAACCTACTGGTTCTGTTAACTGTGTACATGTACTTGAAGGCCCAGTATTGCTGTGCAAGCATGTCTAACCTTCAGAAGTCGGGGAACAACAGACGATAAACCAGATAGTGAATTTGAGTGGGTGGGTGGGTGAGTTGAAATACTGGGTGCACCCAAAATTGGACCTATGCACCTACCTTTTGACTGTGATTGCTTCTAGATATTTGTGTAGGGTTACGTAAGCAAAGTTATGTAGATGTACAATAAAACCTTTGTTATATTACTTGTTTCAAATTCTAAGTTAGCAATAGAATTCCATATTCAAGCACCAAGAGAGGCAGTAAGGTTTGTAATGTTGTTTTGCTGACATTCTAGTTCCTTTTATGTTTGCACACAAAATTCTTTCTATGCACCTAAATGTTTAGGTTGGGTGTACCAGTGCAAATGAATTCCAAGCCCTGAAGTGAAACTTAGCCAAAGGGCTAGCTAACATGGCCCCTACTAAACTTGTCTGTGCCTTATCTCCATTCTAGTTTATTTTACTTGTGCACCCAAAATTCTTCTTGTCCCCTACAGTAAAACTTAGCCATAGGGCTAGCTAACATGGCCCTTACCTCCAGTATGTGCACCAGTTTGCCGCTGTGCGAGTCCCAGACCTTCAGGGACTTGTCGTTGACGGCTGTGATGACGTACTTGTCGTGCAGGTCCCACCCAACCATCGTCACCTTCCACTTAAAGTACTTGTTTGCTGTGTCCAACTGGTTTGATTTACTGCAAAATAGACAAAGGTTAAGATGTAACAAGCCATCTTTAAATAAAGAGAAAGATATCTAATTGGTAGCTTGCTATTAATGATTTGTTAATCATTTATGAGTTCTATTGGATTTGAATGTCAATTGTATTTATGGAAAAAATCACACCAATTCCATACTCAAAGAGTTGGTAAACACAAGTACTATCTAATTATTTTGAACCAGTCACTGTGCCACTATTGGGAGCATGTCTGTACTTGAACATATTGAGACCCAAGGCTTATGCTGTCCCCATTAAAGAACTGCAACCCTTACCTAAAGAGGGTATATCATGATTCAACCTCTACCAGCAGCAAAATCTTTTTTTTATTTACTTCATGATTAACCACAAGGCTCATGAGAGCCACTCAATTAAGAGATCCCCAGGCACTCACCCCGGCAGACTTGTTGCCATGTTAAGTAAGACGTTTCTCCACTCCTGTCTCTCGAACCTCCAGACTCGCGCCGTGCCGTCCCGACTGCCGCTGACAAACTTGTCCCCACTGTTGTTGTACTGGATACTGTCCACTTTGTCCTGGGGAAGAATAAGGGCATTTTGATCATGAGCTAGAATTAGTGCTGTATACCTAAACCCACGTTCAGGTCCAGGACCAGATTAAGGTTTAGGTTCAGGTCTGGACTTGTGAGTCTGGACCTAAACCCAGGGCATATACAAAATATCAGACTTCTCAGTGAACATTTCCCAACGGAAAATGGGGCATTTTACACCAAAATTTCGCAGCAAGCACTGCACTACAAGGGTTTATAAGTTTACAAGGGTTGTTTGTGTGGCACGACTGGGCACAACTGTGGCCACATAATTTAGAGACACTTGACAACGCCCAATGGCAATGTTTTCTCAATTCTGCAGCACAAATTTTTGACCATTGAAGATTTCAGGTGGTTTAGAACAAAATGGGGAATGTGACATGATTTTTTTTGTAAAACCGTAACTAGTTCCAGAGGCTTTTTGGACTTGAACCTGAGCATGGTATTTCAAATCTTAGGTAAGTTCTAGAGCTCCACCCAAGTTGCTCCACTCACAGTGTGTGCCTCCAGCTCCGCGATCCTGTCTGGTCCAGCCACGCTCAGGAAGTAGACACGGATGATGTGGTCCGAGTTCCCCGTCACCAGGAACGTCCCGCCGGGGCTGAAGGACGAGCACAGCAGCTGAGCGCCCGCCCGCGACCGGTCCGCGAACTTGATGGGGGTTTGGCTGTGGGAGGAGAACAGTGGAAGTCAGTGCACATTCTTTCTACTTAGGACCCACACATGTAATCAGCCATGGTGCTCATCCCATAAATACATGGTTCTTCTTCTTTCATTTTGTGGCAGCCACCTTCAACTAGCTGAAGATTCTGCTGCCTGTCTGTGGCTTATACAAGATGGGGTTCGCCAGGCCTCCATCCAGGAAAGTCGTGTAAAGTGGATTTACCTTGGCCAAAAATCGGTAACATGGCAGAGTTCGAACCCGGGACCTCTTGGTTCCGAGCCTAACAGTAACACTCTTCCGTTACACCACACGACCCCACCTAATTACGAATGGGGCATCATTTCAAATGCTATCTAACCGTTTATGCTGAATATGAAAGAACAACACAAATATGATCCATCCGACTCAAGTTGCCCAACAGAAAAGTTTCTTGTGGTACTCACTTGAAGGTACATGTGTTGACACACCACTGCCAGAAGCACACAGTCCCATCTGCACCGGTCGACGCCAGGAAACGCTGAGAGCCACGAGCCGACGGACAGAACTGTAACAAGATTAAGGCTGGATTTTAGCAAGGACATACAGCAAAGACATCTCAACAAACAAAATGGGCATGGTGGTCACATAATGACAATAATGGAAAAAAATATCAACATCAGCATCCTAAAATTAGTAAAAACAAACAAGAGTCACAAACATGGGATTTTTCTAAGACTTCTACAGAATGGCAAGTTTTTAGAGATCCAAGCACTGTATTTCCTTTCAAAGTTAGGCAAAACAAGAACATTATGACAGAGTAATGGATGACTGAAGCAGTATGGGCAAAACTTACAGTAAAATATGTTCATGGATTTGTCAGGACACTTCTATCATGTAACCTGTATCTGGTTATATTTTGCCTGACCGTGACCTCTTCCTTCATGACCTAAATGAAAAGCCTCCCTGATGTGAGTACATGTATTTGATAACTAAACAAAGGCTCAAATAAAATAAAAAACCAACCTGAAGTGAGGTAACCATGGCAGAGTGGCCCATGAGTACTGACACCGGCGCTAACGTCTTCATGTCCCACACACGGATCGTCTTGTCCACGCTGCCCGCCGCCAGGAGCGTGTTCTCATAGTTCACCGCCATGTCCGTGATCTCGCTGGACATCCCGCGGAGCGTGGCCACCAGCCGGCCGTCGTGCGCTGACCAGATCTTCAACAGGTTGTCATCCGCACCCTGATATAAACAAGGATTTCACAGACATTATATTAAACTATTAGTATTACAGATGACAAATATCCTGGATTTTCAAAAAAATGACTTTAGAAGCCCTTATTACAGTAACAGAATGCCAGAGTGCGCAGATCAGATCTTCAAAAGATTGTCATTGGCACCCTGACACAAAAAAGAATTTCATGGACATTATATTCACTAAACTACTACAGACAAAAAGTCAGCAGAATAATCTGAGAAGGAAGCGTCACAAAAACTACATGCCTTCAGCACACACGTATCTCTACCAGTAAAACATGACACCCTACCATGCCACCTTTTTGTTTGAAAAATTTAGATAACATAAACTATCTGAAAAATTTAGATTTCATAAACTAGTGAAGCCAAACAGATGGACTCACCGTGATGATACACTTTCCAGTCCTGTCGAAGGCGATACAGTAGACAGCAGACAGGTGTCCCAGCACACGCAGGTGCATGCTGTACTTACTGTACGTGGTCTGGGCTGGCGCTAGGAAGTGACGCTTAGCCACACCCAACAGCTGTCTAGCATTCACTACGTGACCTGTAGGAGAACAATGAAAATATTACTTATTTTACTGACATTTATATGGATATTGGGCAAAAGCAGGGTGCTTATTAGAGGCCCTTTCCTCAAAAACATAAATAGGGAGGGTACAAACTCAGCCACATTTGGGATTGTGTTCTTGCTACATCGGCTACATACATGTATGGTGGCGAGAAGCATATTAACTCCTGTCAGAAGCTCTGAGGAAGGTGTCTGATAGACACTGAAACGTTAGTACTTTAGGTGAGAACATTTGGTTGTGTAAAAGAAAACTACTGTACCCCATAAATATAACAATATATATTCACAGAAAATAAAACATTCTGCTTCACTTCAGAAGATGACCTGCTTTGACATTTAATTTGCACAGGATACTGATAGCAAAAAGCAATTTAAAATTGATCTATCACCGAGAACTCCAGACTATTGGATAACAGATCACTTCTGACAAGTCAAGTTACAGTCAGCTTCAACCCTCCCATTAAACACTGGTCACTTTAATTTCAGAAAGTAATTTCCAAATGCCAAGGGCACCATGCCTTCAACCTCAGCATTTCAACTTGATATTGGATCCGCGTCAAAGTTCTACATGTCATGTACATTCCAACTCCAAGCATAACAACAGTGGTTCTTATGTAGAGGTGGTACAGGTTTGACTGTAGTTCAAATGCTGAACATTGATTACTGTTATAACTGGCCATATCCAAGTAAAGAAAAAAGCAATTTATATATTTGGAGACCATTTCCATTGGTGAAGCAAAAAAAGACCTAAACCTGTACAGCATGTCGGCAGAACATATGACACCTGCGCGAAACCCATAATGTATTGTACATAGCACATTGGCAGAATGTCTCATATAAGGTCATATTTGCGTACATAAGGTCAACATTCCGTCTGTAGTTTCCAAATGTTATGACAGTAGAGATATCCTCTACAACAGGCAAACTGCTGATGCAACGTTGACCAAAAATCCAACGAAAACCGTGAAAACCAGGATTGCGTTCTGCAGACATGCTGCCATATCCACGTAAAGACAGAAGCAATTTACATATTTGGAGACCATTTCCATTGATGTAGCAGAGAAGACCCAAAACTGTACTTACATGCAGCAGGGGCGTGGCCGTAATTGACAGGTGGCATCAGGTTACCATGGGAACCAGAAGCCTTGGCTGCCAAGGTGGGCCCTTTCCACTGGACCTTCTTAAAGTCTAAGGAGAAAAAAAAACGAGCTGCTCAACATCTTATACTAGTATCTCAAAGTATGTCTCCAGGGCTCTCCCCAAGTGATGAAGCAAGGGTGCTTCCCCTCTGCCAAAAATCCTAGCACCTCTCCCAAAATGTTCAAATTTAGGGTTTTCCCGTAGTTTTTGCTGAAAATTTGCTGATTTTTCATTAACCGATTAGGGAGCACCTCTTCCCTAAGAATTTCTGGGGAGACCCCTGGTACATGGTCTGGCTAAAGTAGTCAGAAGCACAATCCCCACATCTGTCTAGCCTACCCAAGGGCTTTATGGAGCAAGTCCATGTGCACAACCAGAGAGAAGTGTGATTTAGTCAGGTTATGACTCAAGCTTTACTGACAAATTTTGACATTGAATATGCAACTAACAAGCAAAATCAACAATGAACTGTGTGTGGTGAAAGTAAGTGTTTCCTGCAATCAAAAACATGATTTTATATTCTGCGATGTACTAAAGGCTGTGTATGGGGTTTTGAACCTACCATCTGCATGTCTGAGCAGTGACTGCCTGCCCAACCCCAGGAGAGTCCTCACACCTGGCACACTGGGCCGCACCTGTGCGTCCAGCAACGGGCCCACCCGTTTACACACCTGCAACAGGTGTTGCTGACTGACGTGGGGGTTTCTCTGCACCTGGGAAACAACAACAAAAACACAGGTTATCGTAATTCTAGGTACCTAACAAGAAGTACATATTTGTTGCAGGACTTTATTTTTTTAACTTTGTGATTACCCATTACATATTCTTTTGTTGAGTAAAACTGAATAAAGAAACATTACAAAAGAATAGATCAGTCTGGAGGTGTTGCAGTACCAACATTTTCAGTTTCAGTTTCTTTGGCCAGGCATGGAGAAACATTACTGGTAAACATTACCGTACCTTTAAAAAAATCTATAAAAAAATCCAGTCTTAGAAAAAAAAGTACACATACCCTGGTCTCACTCACTCAAACAAAATAACAAACCTATCACTTTGAATTTTCCAATCCCTTCATAATACCTTAGACATGCGACAGAAGTAATTTGCAAGACAAATCAATTTGTCTCGTACACAATGAGCAACAAAACAAAAGAACTTATGGAATGATATAATTTTACTTCTGTTGAGCCGAACTAGATTTCGACATTTACTACCATTCCATCCACAAAGGTAATAAACAGTTTTCTGTTCACAACACTGCAATAAAAAAGCAATTTACTGGGCAAATAAATCTGTGCCATAAACAGCCAGCAAAAGAACAAAGGGACTTATGCATCTGTTGCAGCATTGCCAGAATTTGAGTTGTCTCCAAAATTATAAATCCTTTGTGTTTTATTGTGTCTGAAAGTGCACATGACTTTCCTATCAGACAGCTGGAAATATTATCCTGGCCTTCTGTCAGGAAAGCCAGGTTTCCCCACTGCACACAACATGCATGATTCATGGCCCTTCCCTTTTCCCCATCATCAATCATGACTGTCAACTGGGCCAGGCAGGAAGCCTGGATATCTGGCACCTGCCTCTACAGGTCACTGAAGGGGTGGGCAGCCTAGTACTGCTAACAACAGCCACTCAAAATTTAACCAATATTGCAAATATTTCTTAATCACTATACATTGAATATATTGTAGCACTATTTAATCTGCATTGTAAAACACCGCAATGTTTGTTATGGTCCATACAAAAACTATAAGAGTACATAAGAAATGTGTTACCCATTTTTCTGCTGGATGGTATCGCCCAGAAGCGGTTTTAGCCAATGACGTGGCTGGACACAAATAGCTGAGGCTGATCAAATTTCAGGTCACGTAGAGGCCCCGGGCGTATCGGGTTTCCTCGCGCTCTGATTGGTCAACCGCTAACCTTATCGCCCATGACGTGCGTAACACAATAGTCTGCCTATGTAAATTGCTCTGGCTCGAATTTATTATTTGTGCAAAAACAGGCCCTTTTCTCTCGTTTTTGGCCTAAAATGAGCGAATTCGACCGGATAACCATACCTTTTTCGATCGAGCATAATTTTTGCTACCGATTGCTACCATTTTCGTTTGGGCGAGAAAATGTGCCCCAAATGCCCATTTTACGTCAAATCCGAAATTCTGACAAAGTTGAAGAAAGTTTTAGCGCTTCTCACCAAGTTTCCGAAGGTTTGAGGGTGCGTATTTCCCAACCAGTCGCTCCGGCGCTCCAGAAGCTGTGGGAATGGCAAAATCGTTACTGGCGGTTGTCTGTGGGGAGATCTAGCCGGGCCGATAGGAAAAATAGGCATCCACCGACCCGACAATGAAATTTTGAGGCAAATTTACCAAAAATTGAAAGTTCACAAGTGCGAAAAACCGCTAGCAAGTGCGCAGATGAAGGCGAGTTCTGGGCACATACCTCGTGTTCTTGCAGCTCTTGTTGTAGGACCTGTGGCGAGACAACGGCTTTGTTAGGTGTGAAAAACGACAAAAGGAGAACCAAATTTCTCAAATCTAACATTTCTTACCTCAAATGCCCTCGTACAAGGTCCACCGGAGAGGAATTTTGCGATCAGGAAGTACAATTCTGCGAGGGGAAGAAAAGTACAAAATCGGTCAGTTTGTCGCCGAAAACAACGGGATTCACAGCAACCTGCGAGAAATTTACCCACCAGATTCAGTCGGGGAAGCCTCCCTCGACGTCGAACCTGTCGTTTCCATCCTCCAGTAGGCTTTTTCAGGCTTCGTATGTCGAAATTTGGACTAGATTTCTGATTATTTGGCGCCTAAAGCTGGCGAATTCGCATGTTCAGCCTCCATTGAAAAACGACATTTCGGCTGCGCTGCTGCAGCGCGGTCAAGGCCTTGACGAGATATATCCCTCCGCGAGAAATAGTACGACAGATACAACAGAATCCTGCTTAAACTGAGCGGCAATTTTGGATAAAATCGACAAATTAATATATCATAAATATTCTTGTACCGAATGAATTTGTTTGTTTAGGCTAAATATTTCATTTATTCTTCATAGTTTGAAAAAAATCCCTGCGCAGTGATATGTTCCCCCCGGGTAGGGCCAGCACTAGTCACCACGTGACGTCGGCAGCGCACGCGTACTGTGACCGGCTCGCTGCTGGATTCACACGTACTTTTGTGACGATTCCTTCGATTTTACACCAAATTCTGGACAAATATCGGTAAGTGGCTATAACGTACACGTAGATACTATATCAATGAATTGTTAGACGAAGTTTGGTGGTTTATAGTGGTTTTGTTCGACTGTTACGAACAGTTCTATCAGCCGAGGTTTTGTCCGAAGTTCCGTGTCCGATTCTAATTTGCACGTTTGCCACAGCTGATCCCGTGTGTGTGGGTGGATAGCTGTTCTTTCTGTTTTATGATTTGTAAAAATTCAACTGGTAAGATAATGCCATAAAGAAGTCCACATCTTTGCAAAGTATTATAGTGTCGTTCCCGCATATACGAGGGCATAATTCCTATATTCAGTGGACTTATACGTATAGTTCCCTCTGCTGTTCAACTTCCATCTTTGCAGGTGTGCAAGTTGCATACCTGGGGTTCACATGATATAGAATAGGGGATTCCCCAAATTTTACAACTTAAATTTCATTCTCAAAAAACTGCTTTGATGTCTGATCTTAGGATTTATTCCTGCTGACACACCAGATTTTACTTTGGCTGTACCTTCCACCAAGTCTTGAGGCATTACATCATCTTCAGTGAAGCTCCTTGGTCTGATGCAATGCCATAACTAAGGAGACTGACATGATATTACTTTATTTCAGAAATTTTATAATTTCCAGACAAGAGAATGAAAATCTTAAATTTAATGTCAAAAACATCAAGCTGTCATTTTCTTTTTTTTTTTTTCATATTGGAAAATATCAGGATGTAGGTCCTTGTGGTTTGAGGGTACTCCACTACCTACTTCACACATTCCTTTCAACCCACCTGGTAAAACTTGAAGTCTACTATAATTTCAGCCATTGGCCAACATATCTGAGCATTAAATTTGGACTGTATATATTATTTTATTATTTAGTCTCATTGGAGGCCCTTTGATACTTGTGTGCAACTGGGGAATTGAAAGAGAAAGTAGATTTCATGACTGAGGTAACATTTTAGCCTCTTCTCATGCTTATGAGCGTGTGGACCGTTGTTCAGGTATATAGTGAAACAGGTCAGGTTTTGAGAATGAAAAGTGTACGAAGGAGGCTTGATGATATATGCAGTTCTTTCAGATATTAGTTAATAAACTTTCAGTACCCAAATACCTACCTTGCAATTTCAACACTTGTTTTTCACACTATTGGTGGGTGTTGCCATCCTACGGAATCTAAATTATATTGTATGGTGTCACTTGGTGTGCAAACCATGTAGAACTCTAGGACTAGGTAATACTGATAACCTCTCAAGTAGGCAGTGCTCAGGTTTGCAAGGATATCAGTTCTAGTATACATGTACCTAGCTAGGTAGCTTTATTAGCCATGAACAAATTGTAACTGCATGTTGTTACATGTACAGTGTCAACTTGTCTCTAGTGACTACTGTGATCCAGTGTCTTAAGAGAAAACAGTAGACTGGTGGCAGAAATACATAGGATTCTTAATCTGCAGGGTAAAGGGAATTCAAGGGACCACCAAAAGTCACCACAATGTGCAGACAGTCTTTATCAAACTTTATTCTTCTTGGCAGTCACTAATATTGATTTGACTGTACAAAACTGCATGTGTTACATGCTAGTAGATAGTACCTTGTATTTTTAAATACAAGGTTACTCCTGCAGTCCATCTTCTATACACTAGTACTACATTGTCCAATTTACCACTGCCTCTATCTTACAGAGATGTCGTGGATACGAGAAGAGACACCTCCCGATGAGAACACGTGGAGTGAGCGTTTTCGGAAATTCTGTGCCGACGTCCTGAAGACCGGCCCCATCCCGAAGCACGTGGCGTTCATCATGGACGGGAACCGCAGGTTTGCTCGCAAGAAGGGCATGGACCGCACAGAGGGACATCTCATGGGCTTTGAGAAACTGGCAGAGGTAGGGGACGTTTCTTAATGTCCATGCTTTGAATTTATTTTTCTCTTTTTAGTCCGATGCAGCAGTGTTTCCGCCAGACTGCAGCTGAGAGGCCGTCCAGTTGGGAAGGGCCGGGTCGCGAAAATTAATTAACTTTTAATAGGGAACACGTCACGAAAATTAACTGAGGGGGCGGGGCATTTGTTTACACTTGTTTAGAAGTTGAAACTGTCCACAAGCATTCGACATTTTTTGGTATAATTTTGACATAAAAACACTGTTACAGATGGCATCGTCAGGAAATTATACTGTTGCAAAACTCTGCTGCAAAACTCCAAACATCGGCATCATTTAATTATAACCTCCGGTAGCGCCCGCGCTAGCCGGATTTTTAATAGTGAAGAGCCTTGCTTCGTTCGTACTCGTACTTCTTCCGTACATTTCCACTACGAATTACTAGTTAATATCAAGCCAAAAATACATGAAAACATGTCAAGAAACGTCATCTTATCTCTCATGCACGAGACAAATTTTGAAAAATAATTGGCTGTATCGTAGCTTTCATTGCTGTTTCATTCAACAAAAATGCTCCTTGATTGTAAAATGATCACTCATCTGTTGTCTCCAGTAGTATCAAATGGTAGCGTGATGGTAGCGTGCGAAAAATCGGCGTTAAAAGTCAGAAAATCGCCGGAAAAATAAACTTGCAGCACACATTCTCAACCTCGCCGGAGAAGGAAATACGCGCCATTTTGTCATTAATATGTAAGTAGCAGCGTGAACTCTACGCTCTGATTGGTTGACCTCATATAACCTGCGCTCTGATTGGATAGACCCATCTTTGCCGGCATAGCTGTAGAATTTGTTTGTTGGTGAAGAGAGTTACACTACGCTACTTTCTACGGTGTTTCTACCGCTAATTAGTAACATTCCATTAAAGAAATTCATTATGAAGAATTTTTGGGAAAATGTATGCATCCATATGCCGATTTGTGGTGCCTTTCGCGTATTCAAGCAAGCCGGAAGTGTCAGCGAACCGCGGCGTGGCCGCATGGATAGCGAACTGCGGCGTGGATTTTCATGCAACCCGCCCGCTACAAGACCATCAAAAACAAAAACGTAACTCCTAGGGGTGGGTACCGGTTCAGAAAATTCAGGTCCAGGTCCGGATCAGGTTCAGAGGATCAGGTCCAGGTCCGGACCTGAACCGGACCTGATTATTGTACAGTAGTATAGTATATCATATTTTGGCAAGCGAAACACAAGTACTGCTAGTAACGCTACTAGTAGTAGCATGAGCTATTCTTGGTGTACACGGCACGGCCGTGCATATTAAAGGCCGCTTTTCCCGATG